AAGTCAAAAAATAAACATGTAATAATTGTCTAATAAAAAAAACAAACAGACAAAAGCTTTTAAAGCATTCAAGGACAGATACAGTTGCTGAATGCCAAGTCAAGCGAGATTGAGTTTTGGTTGATAGAACTAGAGATAATAGCTCTTTTTTCAACTCTATGAGGATGGGAGAGAGAGTTTGGCTCCAATAAAATCTTTCAATCACAGCAGTAAGCAAGTCAGCCATAGAATGAAAAGATCAAAAACCAAGCTATTAGTTAGAGAATTAAAGTTAGAAATTTGTTATTGAAAGACTCAAAGACCTTGCTAATAACAGATAAAAGACTCATCAGATAATAATTAGAGGGGTCAGAATGTTCTCCAGAGTTTTTAAAAATCACCAACTGAACCACAGATACTATTTTTCAGCAAGCGGGAAAACAAGATTTAAACAAGCATTTATTAAATAGTTTCAAGAGAAATAAAGAGCTTTTGTAAGAATATGACAAAAATATTGTCCGGACCACAAGCCATAGAACAGTTTAATTGTGATATGACTTAAGCAAAGAAAACTGGAGTGATTTGAATGTCTAACTAACATACCTAACTTTGTAAAATTATAAAAAAACTTATAGTTTTTCAATTTTTGGTTGAAAGTCTCTAAAGCATAACTTCTGAGATAAGATGCAAGACTTAGTGAACTGAAAATAATGGATCTTAGCATCAGACAACAGCTTTTTACACCAATTTCTTGCAATAACAAATAAATCTGTTCTCAAGAGAGTTTTTCTTTTGAAAAAGATGAAAAAAATGATTATTAGATATAGCTGCACAAGTAGGTGAAAACCATAGTAGAATGAGGCTTGACTTGAAAATGAGGAAAAAGAATAAAAGCTTTTCTTCCTGCCTGGATCCAGGAGGAATCACAGTCAGCTTTAGAGTAGTAGTAAGTAGTGCAATGATATAAGGAGTTTGAAGAAAAAGTATGAGATGAAAGATTTATAGAGATCCTCACATGGAACCTAAAGGAGTACAATAGGAGAATTGGAACACAAGAGTCACAGGAGTACAATAAGAGATTTGGAACAGCTAGAGTCAGAGACAAAACACAAATTTTATACAAGGAGTGAAAAATGTTGTCTGGAAAACGAGTCACAAAGTTATCTGAGGAAGAAATTAAGAAATGCGGAAGTTATGGGCTTTAGTGCCAGGAGGGTCAGTGGTGTGAGAATCAAGCTATTCAGTGTGATGAGAATTAAAGTCACCAATAACATATATATATATATATATATATATATATATATATATATATATATATATATATATATATATATATATATATATATATATATATATATATATATATATATATATATATATATATATATATATATATATAGATATAGACAGAGAAGTAAAGAAAAATGAAATGGTCAATTTAATCAGAAATGGTCAATTTCAGAAATTACATCTAAAAGAACACAATCTTGAAAAAAAGGAGAGCAATAAAGAACAAAGAGAAAGGTGATTGAAAAGTTGAGTGAAAAGGAGCAAAGCCGAAACACCTAAAAAATGGTCAAAGGATTCAAACCTGATTTCCCAACAAATCGGTAAATGGATGTGTAAGTATACCTTCAAGCCAAGAATGTGACTATTGGAGTCTTTGCAGATCAAAGGGTAGTATTCATCAATACTGAGTTCTGAAAAAGGAACAGCGGAATTTAAATTAGTTTCACTAATAGCAAAAAACTTTGCAAGAGATAAGATTCAACGGACAGAAGGTTACTTGGAAGACCACAAATATTTGTGAAAGTGGAAGACTTTACTTGGAAGACCACATTTGTGAAAGTGGAAGACGTTACTTGGAAGACCACAAATAATTGTGAAAGATACATTGAAACAGTTAGGTAAATGGAATGGTTTTTATGTTTAACTTTTTGGGTTACATTGGGCATTATTTAAAGGTTAAGTCTTATGGGTTTTTGTGTTTTATAGTTTTTGGTTATTTAGTCAAAATTCTTAAAGAACTTGACTTAAAGCATAGATAGTACTCAGTACACTATTTAATAGTCAAAGAAATTGCCTCATTACTATTAACAAACCCTAAGCTGTAAGAAAGGCTCCAAATGTGGCCTCAACATTGCACATTAAAGGCACCAACAGAGACACATGGGTAACATGGAACTGTTAATACTCTGATATTTTACAGCTTACCTGAGAGTTAGGAAGAGTTCAGGAAACTTTACTACCAGCTAACCTCAAAACAGAGCTACCAAAGAGTTTGGGAAACCTTCCTAATGGCCTCAGAACTATTAACTGAGGTTTAGAGCTGTACTGTCATTAGGAGATAAAAGAAAGAGTTACATAACAACTATAAAGGCACAACCAAAAATCTATGAGCAGATTCAAAAAGATCCAGCATTTATCATTGTAGGAAGAAAACAATGTAAACAGGTTTACACTTATGTCAACCTAATAAATAAAGAAGAGGCTGGTTAGCAGAATTATTTTGCTTATCCTTAAAGTCTTTGTTTAGGAGGCCTCCCACAAGACAGTAGTTGGATGCAGTTAACCTCTGCCCAAGATGAGTATTTTTATCAAAACACAGTCATTAGTCTTTAATCAACCAAGACCCCCAAGGCAGGGGAATTTTTGCTGGATAAAGTTAACATCTGCCCAAGATGAGTACTTTTATCGAGACACCATCTCTAGCTTTTATTCAACCAAGAGCCCTAATATAGGGGATTTTTAAGTCAGAGTTAATTTTTCCTAGCCTTTGATCTGACCTGGAGTAGTTAAAAGAAGTTACTTACTGTAGGCAGTACTTTAAAATATTGATGGGAGTATTTTAGAAATGCATAAAGCAAAACATTACATCTAACAGATTACTAGAGATTAAAATGAGCGTAGTTTTTATAGTTGGTTACTGTAGTACACTAGGTTACTGAGCCCACACTCCATTAGAGATTTAGACAGAACACAAACATACATAAAGTAACTTACAGGTGAATCAACAATGTGCCAGTGGTTCCGACAGAATACAATATACATATAGTAACTTATGGATGAATGAACACTGCTCCAGAGGTTCAGACAGAATACAAACATACATATAGTAACTAACGGGTGAGTGAAAACTGCGGAAATGCTTCTATTCTTTAAAATTTTAAAAACAGTAAACTATTTTTATTACTAAACTTGATAGTTGTTATTCATTAAAAAATATCTATATTGATCTTGAAATTAAAACTGTTCCTATTATTACTATTATTTTTGTTATTATTTAAAATTGTGATTTAAACTTTAATATTTTTTTCTTTTGATAAACGATTAGATAAAACTAGAAAAATAAAGCATACAGTTTGATAAACGATTAGATAAAACTAGAAAAATAAAGCATACAGTACAATGTAATATTAAAAAAACCCTCAAACCACAACAATCTAAAGGAATAGCGGTGATCAAATATTTTAAATGAAAAAAATTGCAAAACAATATACACTTCAATATATAAAATATATACTTCAATAAAATACTTCTATATCTTATTGAAATCTTATTTTTCAATATTTTTTCATAAACAGTTAATGTTAATGAAATGCTCATAACTCTTTAAGGCAGATTTCGATACATCGATACAAAGATATATACATCGATACAAAGATATATATACAAAATTAAAGACAGAGGAGTTTAAAAACATAAAAACTAATTTAAAGTCTTAATAGCTATTTTGAAAAAACAAAAACTTAAATAACTTATTTTAAAACAAAATTATTTAAAAACTTTTTTATTATTTTTTTTTGGTATCAATTGACTAGTTATTAATTTAAAACATTTCAATTTTTAAATAAATCCTTCAAAGTTTCCCCTAAACAAAAACAAATTTTAATCAAATTTTTAATACACAAATAAACAAATTGCTTTAATTTAAATATTTTATTGGTTGATTTTTAAATTTTAAAACTTCGTGAAAATTTTTTGGACCTTCAGTAATTTTTTTTTTTTTCTATAACTTTTTTTTATTAATATCACTTAAATTAGTGCTTAAACAAAAAATAATTCAATTATGTCAGTTTTGACTGGTAATATTTTTGTAATAATTTTACAATTGGTAAAATTATTGCAAAATTAGTCTGGCATCACTAGTGCTTAAAATAATTTTGCTTTTTTTTTTGAGGTTTAAGTTTTATTTTCAAAGTTTACTACTAATAATATAATTTTGTTTCACCAAACGCAACAGAGATGACATGTTCCACAGTGGAAAATGTTAAAGTAGACAATTTTCAATCTTTTTTTTGTCAATTTTTAACAGATGAATAATAAAGAACACACATAAAAGGTAATTTATTTAAGATATTTCAATGGCTACAAAAGTCATCATACTTTCTAAAATCTGGTAATAATTTTAGACTAAATATGAAAATGTATTGTTTTAATTACACATGTTTTGTACCAATTATAATTTGAAAATATATATCAGATGATATTAGTAAATTTAAGTAAAGCATTTTAGATTTTCAGATTAGCATCAATTAAAAAAGCAATTTTTGGATCATTAGATGATGTTACACTATGAAAGTAAAAAGAAAGGAGTAAAAAGAATCACAGAAAATAAAAGCTAAAAAAAAAAGGAATCAAGAAAAGAAAATATAAAAAAAGAAATATCTAATGTACAGCCATATATATATATATATATATATATATATATATATATATATATATATATATATATATATATATATATATATATATATATATATATATATATATATACACACGCATATTATATGTAGAATACTATATAAAATATAAGAGAAAAATGATAAGAAATCAATAAAAATGACAACAAATGAATAAAAAGTCAATAAAAAGAATAGTTTGAAAAATAATACTAAATAAAAAAATAATAATACTAAACAAAAAAATAATAAAAATGAATTAAAATTACTAAAATATTTTGTTATGATTGATTTCCAGATATTTATGTGATTATTACTTTTATTTGTAGAATATGTTACCTGACAAAGATTTTGATCAAAAGAAACTAGAGGCTGTGGAGCCATTGCACCGCCATGCTCCTTTGAAACTGTTTTATTCCAAATACTTTTTTTATCACAATTAAATTTTATTACTGTTTTCAAATCATTATTACCACAAAAAAGCTGTTCACCTTGATATGTTGCATGAAATGAGTCAGAATCTAAAAAAATAACAATTAATATTAAAATAAACTAAAAATTAGTTCATACCTAAAATTAACTTTTGAACTTAAATAATTGGTTCTCCAGTTACTAAAAGTGATTTTATTTAATAATATGTGAGATGAATTTATAGCAATTTAATTCAGTTAAAAAATATAGTTTTTTGATATTGGAGTTATTTTGATATTGAACTTTTTGAGCAAAATCTTCAATTTTTACAGCAATTATACATTTTATATATCATTATTAAAAAAAAAAAGTATAATAATGTAACACATGTAACAACAATAAAATCACAAATATTTAATAATCTCTATAATAAAAAATAAACTTAGCAGAATTCCTAAAATTTCTTAGTTTTTCTTTGACTCCCAACACGAGTGTAGGCATATTTAAGTTGGGAGTTACTAAGAAAAGAAGAAATACAGTTAAAGAGCAAGAAATGTTAAACAATAGACTTAGAGACAAATTAAATATAATCTTTGATTCTAATATATAACCAACCAGGTCACTGACTCACTGACTCCCTTATTTATATTATGCGTTAGCAGATAATTATAGTAATAAAACAAATTATTTTCATGTGCTTGTAGTAATTAATCAATTAGTTTAAAAGTTTAGTGAAACATTTTAATATCAGTTATTAATTAAAAGAAAAAATCTAAAATTTCACTTTATAAAGTAAATAATTATTTATTTAATTACAAATATACAACAAATTATAAATTTGTATAATTACAAATAATCTTAATTCTGAATGAATTATTTTTTAAAAAGTTTTTTATTGATATTAAAATAAATAAAATTTGTATATGTAAATTATTGCTCAAAATGGGTGCCACAGGCTCTTTTAGGTGTGTCAAAGGCACGCTTAAATTTAAAATTTATCAAGTATACAGTATTGACTAGCAGAAAAAAAATATATTGTTAGAGTTTAAATTTACTACTCATTTGAATACCTGTTTTAAATGAGCAAATAGTGATGACTTTTTATAAAGATCGAACTTATATAGCTATATCAACAGCAAATTTAACCACTTTTAAACAAACTTACATTTTTAAACAAAGGTGCGCAATAATTTCAAAGGTGGATTTGAACCTCAACCTTATTTATTCCAAGCCAAATTTTTTGCTAACTTTTAACAAACATGTTCAACAAGTTATTTAAAAAACTAGTTTGTACAAGTTTAAAAAATAAAATCTACAAGTTTGCAAAATGATCTTGCAACCTTGTATATTACCATCAATGGGGGTGACAATAAACACTTATTAAACATTTTTGCATTACAGAAGAAAATTGTTAGCTGAATTGCAACTTTTTTTTAACAGAACATTATACTATCCAGCTTCCTGAAAAAGTCCTCGGCCTGATCAACACTAAGCAGTAAATAACTTTTTCTGATTTTATATAAACATGTTTATATTTTTAAAACAGACTGAGAATGAACAGCCAATTCAGGGTTATTATGAACACTATATATTTTTATTTCTTAGATTATAGATCAACCCTTAGAATAAGAAAAATGAGGTCGGCAATAATTTGCTGACCTCAATATTTTAGAGATTAGCATCAGGCAAAGAAACTTTGATACAAAGGTCTTATCATAAAACATAAAAATGAAGTAGGCAGTTTTTGTCAACTTCAAATACTTCTTGGTCTGCATTTAGGACACAATTGCTGAATGCCGACCCTAATTCTGAGAGCTATAGATAGATTCATTTTGTAAGTGAATTTGTGCCTAAGCCTAGATTGTTTTTAAGAATAATTAAAATGGATTCCTTAAGTACCATAACAGTTTCTTCACCACCAGGGTCTTTATTTATTTTTTTTATAGACCTCTTCCAATTAGCCAGTAGTAATTGTATGAAAAAAAAAGTAATTGTATGAAATAGTATTATGTAGTAATGTATATATAGTATTAATAGTATTATGAAGTAATTGTAAGTAATTATATTATGAAGTAATTGTATATATATAGTATTAATAGTATTATGAAGTAATTGTAAGTAATAGTATTATGAAGCAATTGTAAGTAATATATGAAGTAATTGTAAGTAATTGTATGAAAAAAAAATTTCTTTTGAACTATCAAGCCTTGTTTGTCCACCACACTTTTTTGGGAGTTGATCCCATAGTTTTACTTTTTTATGTAGTGCCATAAAAAAGTAAAACTATGGAATCAACTACCATAGTTTTACTTTTTTATGTAGTTATGTAGTGGAATGTTATAAGTTTTAGCAGCCTTGTTTAAGGTAAATCTATAGTTTTTTACTTTATTTACAATTGTTTCCAGGCTTTCTTAAGTGTAACTTGTTTTATAACCTCTTCAATTTTTCTTTCTTTTGTAATTTTGAAGGATATTTTCTAAAATTAGCAAAATAAACTTGAACTTTTGATTTAAAAAATGCTATTTTTAAATAAGCAAATAATTAAATACAGAAAATCTGGTGATTGAAACAAATAATAACTTGTTAGTGCTAAGTCGCATAAGTAGGGTGAATAAAGTAACACTTCCAGCCTAAATCCAATAACTTTTGCTATGACAATATTTCAATGTGAGAACAGCCTTTGTTATAAAAGAAATAAAGTTTGTTGTACCTGAAGAGTTTTTTAAAGATTTTTACTGGAAGAAAAATTGACGTTGGTAGATGGCTATCATAAATGTAGTGTTCAGCAGAAGCAGTTTTTAGAACACAATCAAAAACACTACCTAATTTGGGTGCAACTTTTGAAGTAATGTTCAGTTTGTGTAATTTCCAAACATCAAGGAGGAAATCTATCTGATTTCATGCAAGCAGGATTCTATAATAGCCTGAACCCATCCAGGTTTGATAAGCAGTATATGATAGAAGCTCTCTTAGATCTAAGATGGTTTTTGATTAACTGCTTTAAACACTCCTATTTCAATTCTATTGGTATTCCAGTTTTGTGTCTATCTTAAAATGTCAAGTCGCTGCCAAAAAAGTGTTAAAAGCAACCTTCTCATGTTGCCCTAACACCAAACTCTGACATATCTGGTTGCATATATTTTGCTGAGTGGCCAGACTTAATCTCAAAAAGCAAACAGCGCCACACATAGTCATTAAGGTCATCCATATTTTGTAAGATGTAGACATACCCATGCAAAAATTTAAATTGGTCTATAAAATGAGTTTAGGCCCTTAATAAATATTAGGCCCTAAATATTTGTGTTAGAGATTGAGAAAGGCAAAAGTAAGGCCTTAACGCCTGCAGAGTCACTGACACTAAAGCCAAACCATTCAGTGTGATGAGCTACCAACAACAACAATATTAACTGAAGGATAAAACTAGATAAGTATTACTGATAGGTGAAAATGTTCAAATGGTAAACCATTCAGTGTGCAAAGTTACCAACAACAACAATATTACCTTAAAGATAAATAGAAATGACTGAAGAATATGTATAAACTAGATATAAATGATAGGTAAAAATGTTTAAATGGTAAACCAAATTTTCTAACATTTTTAATGAAACTTTAAAATTTCATTAAAAGCTTTATTAAAAAATATTTTTTCAGTTACTCCTGAAAATCTATATTTTCTTCGATATAATAAAGAGTAATCTATTGTAACCCCTTAGCCTATTGTAACCTAAATAACTATATTGTAACCCCTTAGCCTATATGTGTTACAATAACTTAAATTATGTTTTTTTGTTAGATTACAGCTATAGATTACATCGAACTTTCAGGGTAACATATCTGCATTTTCCCGACATAATACCAGCCCTATAAAAATTACAAATTATTGCTTTTTAATAGACTTGATTGCTTTAAGTGTAGCACTTATAGCAATTAATTGCCTTAACCACTAACAGTAAAAAGTTGAGCATACCAACAAAATGCAGTTGACATCTCACTCATCTCATTATGCATCTTTTGCTCAATTACATTTGAATCAAAAGAGTCATCTTTTAATTCAGTAAATCATATTTGAGTAACTTACCAATTACTGTTTAAGAAACTACTTTAGTAAACATTCCTACATAACTGTGTTAGTTTTCACAGTTTAAATAATGATGCATTTTTTAAGAAAATTATTTCCATGTTGACAATACAATAAGCAGAATTGAACAACAAAATTAACACTTTTTCGTTTTTTAATATTGAACTATTTATTTATATATAATTAATTACATAAATATTATTTAGTGACTTGATTAAAGCTATGGCTAAAAACAAATTTTTTATTACAGTAGCTTGTGCCTTTATTAGTCAAATTTGTGAGATTCAGATTCTGCTTACAAACCGGTGGATCATTTATTTGGTGCAAGTTAAATTGTAAGACAAGATTGTTTAATAGTAATTAATGAACATTAAAAAACAAGATGTCTTTTAAATGCGTTTAACAACAAGCTAACCGAGCTAGTCAATTATTTTTGTAATATAAAGATAGATAGCCAAAGCAATTTATTTAACAGGTGCCCTCTTTCGTGATAATAAACAATATAACTTCAGACCAAAACATAGTGTACTTGCTTGCTGCTCTGCCGTTTAACATTTACAAGACCATGGAAGAACTATCACAATGGGCAGAATAAACCAGTGTGAAAAAGTTAGTGTTAAAACACACCACCCAACCAATCCATTCTTGGAGGATGCATTAGATTTTAAGCAGGGTTGCATGGTTTTAACCAAATGATTTAAACCATTGGTTTAAACCATGGTTTAAACCAATTAAAAAATATTGGTTTAAACCAAACTCATGTTTTTTTAAAAAGATTCAAACTTACAACAGGAAACTAAGACAGGGTTATGTTTACAAATATAACTAATCTTCAATATAGATATATTTTTTTAAATCCATGATTTTTTTTTTTTTTTTTTTTTTAAATTTATCAATATCCTTCATCCAGGATACACTCTACCTAATAGAACTCAAATTGGAGGAGAAATATTAGATAGGGTTTACACAGAAGAAATTGAAAAATATAATGTATTGAATGGGAAAATTGCAGCTATGTCTTTAGATGGCTGGAGTAATGTACATAATGAAACTATAGTTTGTATCTCTGTAATTACAGATAAAATTAACATTTTAGTAGAAACAATCAACACTTCTGGTTATTCACGTACTGGTGAATATTTTACACAATTAGGAAGAGAAGCAATAGATTTTGTAAGACGTAAATTTGGATGCACAGTAAAAAGCTTTGTGACTGACAATCCATCTAATATGAAATCAATGAGACAAGAATTGTCATCTGAAAGAGATATTATCATAACTTATGGGTGTGCTGCTCATACACTGAATCTTTTAGCAAATGATCTGAACATTCAAAATGTGAGCAAGCATGTTACACAAATAATAAAATATATAAGAAATAATCATCAAGCTGGAGCAATTTAGAAATTAAGCGGAAGAACAAAGTTGCCACTTCCTACTGAAACTCGCTGGAATTTTGTATGTAATTTACTTGAAAAATGTCAACCTCTGGAGCATTATTTTCACAATATTTGAAAAAAATTAAGACTTGGATCCCATGATTGATAAAAAAGTAAGTGATACACAGATAAAGCGAAACACAGAATATTTATTGAAACCAATTCCAGTAGTCTAGATAAGTTGCAAAGAGATCAAACAAAAATAAGTGAGACTTGATATTTTTATAGATTTGATGAACAGTTTATCATTTTTATCAAATGAAAAAAAAATGAATCTAGATACCTCCAGACTGTCAGCGATGCTCATTTTCTGGTAAACAAACTAGATCCTAGATATTTTGGATATAATCTTTCAGATTAGATCTGATTAGTAAATGATGCTGCCATGAATTTCGCAGATAAAGAGTTCAAGAATTTGTTACCAATATTATTCAAATTAAAAGCCAAATCTACTATAACATAATGGATATTGAAGGTTTATTAAATTCACCAGCCTCTAGTGCTGGAATTGAAAAATTTTTTCAATTTTTGGTCTTGTTCATTCTAAGTTAAGCAAAGCTTGTATTTATATATAGAACATTAAACAATGATATATTTTGATGATATAATTTTGATGAAATATAACAATAATATTGATAAAGAATATAGTTTACTCAAATAAAATACATTATGCTTTTTTTAATTTAAAAGGATAACTAAATACCACATTTTTTAGTAAAAGCCTAATTTAATCAAAAAAAAACATGTTTTTTTTGGTTTTTTTAAAAAAACCTATAGTTTTTGGTTTAAAAAAAAAAAACGGTTTTTTTGCAACCCTGATTTTAAGTGTGGATGAATTAATGAACAAATATATCATGATTATGGTTATGGATTTAATAAAGACTTGAGATGGACTAAAAATTAGCCCTGGAAAATTGAAATTCTGTAACTCCTTGATTAAGCTGTCATTGACACCTCAAATTGCAACAATTGAATTAGGAACAAGCTAAGCTTAATTTGATGACAAAAAAGCGATTGTAAGTTGGGATTGGAAAAACAAACTCAACATGAAAAACAGAACAAATCAGATTAATATACCTGATTAACATTGCGATGCTTTCAACAACAAAATAAACGAATTGATCAAATAAGGCATACTTACCAAATATGAAATTATGGAAAAAGCTAAAGGTTTACTATCACTGATATGCATTATTCAAGGTAATAAAAAGAAGGTAAGACTTATGCTTGATTATTGCAAGCTTAACATGATATCATAAATAATGCAATAAGAGATGATTAAAAACAGTATGCTTGTTAGAGGTGATGAACCTCAAACAAGCATACCTACAAATCCATGTGCAAAAAAGACATTGACCTTACCAAACTGTCATCAAATTACAAAAAGTGTACGAAATACTAAACCAAATGCACCTCTAAACATATGGTGTGATGCAAGTTCACTGGCAAAAGGAGTTGTGATAATGCAAGGTGACCAAAAAATAGAATATGAAACATAGTTCCAAGCAAAGTCTGATGCAATGCATATCAACGTAGCTGAATTGGATGCATGTATTGATGATGGTCTCAATATGGCATTGAAATAGAACCTGAGTGATGTCTCTATTAAAACTGATTCTAATAGTGTATTCAGTCGGTTAAAATCTAAATTGACTTGCAATAAACCTGTAATATGTGTTGGACAATACAAAATGTCAATTTGACAAAGTCTTCAAATATTAAAAATATCATTCAAGGATTATGCTATAGATGTAAATGTTACATAGGTGCCAACTACTAAAAATATTGTTAATGAAAACACACAAAATAAATAAAAAAAGTTGCAAGAATGAAATATTCTTTATAAGCGTAATAATCAGCAGAATCAATGAAATCTGCTAATTATTTCACTTAAAAATTTAATAGCACACACAGTTTCAAAGAGTATGGATTTATGCCGATGTACTGATATATATGTTAACAGAGTAAAACATGAGAAATAAAACCTATCTATTAAACTGGTGAAATACCATCAGGAAACGGAATTATTGAAAAAGTTCATTGTATGGTAAAAAGATCTGTATTCTTAATAAACAATGTTCCATCAAAACGAAGTACACCTTTTCAAATCTTTTGCATTACAAACATATTTGAATTCCTCTACTTAATAAAGTCAAATTAACACAAAAGTCTGACTTAGTTTTAAGGATGGAAAATTGGCGATAAGGTGTATATGAAACCCAAGCATATGATAAAATGTACACAACAATGGTTGAAAAGAAGTATGGTACACTGCATAATGGTTTAACAGCTGAAGTTGATCCCAACAGACATATATTACCACAACATTTCTCTTATCTGCAGCACTGTCATGTAGACAGAAAAGAACTACTAACATGATAAGGACTTGACTTCAAACCTTTCAAAAAAACAAACTTAAAATAGATCAATGATGAAAGTCTAAATTTTCAAATAAATGCTCTGGATGATTGAAAAGCTGACAATAGTATAGGCATTGATCAAACTATCCAATAGATAGTGAGAAACAATTACAGCCTGTTCAATTCATTCAGATAAAGAAATTCCTAATCCAACCCTCGGAATTAGGGTCAGCATTTGGCAATGCCGACCTAACTGCCAACTATAAAGTGTTTGAGGTCGTCAAATAATTGCCGACCTTGTTTCTATGATTTATGGTTAGACCTTTGTATCTAATTTTTTTAGCAGACCTGATGTCGACCTCTAAAAAATTGAGGTTGACAAATTATTGCCGAGCTTGTTTTTCCTAATTAAAATCAAATCAAAATAACATACTAATCAAAAGTACAGCTGACTCTCGATATCTCAACTACTCGATATCTCAATATCTTGAACATTATTTCTGATCCGTTGCGCACTCGTTTGAGCCAAAATCCTCTCAATATCTCAAACTTTTTCCTGCTCCTCTGTTAACTTTATCACGAATATATTTAAGCTCTAGTTGACCTGAGGGAGATTTAAGATTTTGATTTACATCATTAATTAGCTTTGCTAATTAATGACTAAAGTCACACAATTTTTTTTATTATTATATTGTTTTGTATAATAATTATTAATTGGTGACATGAGCCACAAGTTGTATTTTTAAATTATATATACAGAGAACAATTTTTTTAACAAGATTGTTTATAAGTAAAAAACAAACATTAAAAAACAAGATAGCTTTCAAATGAGTTGAACAACAATTTTTTCTTTCATATCACTCTAAAATCAAATCAGTGCTTTAAAATCAATTTTAAAATCAGTCTAAAATCAAAAATAGTGTTTTAAATGTAAATGCTTTTAATCATACTTATTCTTTTAAATCATTGAAATAATTTTTTCTCTCAGATTTGTTTTCCAAAATATAGTATGTTGATATTTTTGACACCATTTTAACACCAAGTTTTGAAAATACATTTTGTGCAATATAATTCTCAATAAATGAAACACTCAATTAACAAAAGTATTTAGCAGTAAGGTAGGAAATAGTTGCAATTAATTGCAGATTATATTCTGCTTATAAAAATTTAACTAAACTAAATTATTCCAAATTTAAAAATCTTGTCACTGACTACAATGAATAAAACATATAATAATAAAAATTATTTACCTACAAAAGCAGGCACAAATAACACTGGCCAACAAAAAAAAAAATTCTGGTGCCAAGCAAACAATTAGTTTTTTTTAATAGTATTTCTTATTTTGATTTTAAATATGCAACTCATTCTTTGGTAAACAAACATTTTTTCTTAAAACTCATTGTTAAAAAAATTATTTAAAAAATGCTAAAGACTCTTAAAAAAAATTAAACACAATGTTTTTTTAACAATAATACAAAAAGTACTTATTTTTATTACAAACGAATAACATTTTTGAAACCTCTATAAAAATGCGCTTCTTTTGAGACCCAGGTTGACATACATTTGAATGACTTTTTTTAACAATATTAGGGACTTTACCCAAAATACTAAAAATTTGAACGCAAATACCTTTACAAGTTGATGTGATGGTGAAAAATGAGTTGCATATTTGAAATCAAAATGAGAAATACTATTACAAAAACTAATTGTTTGCTCAGCACCAGAAAAAAAAATTTTTTTTGTTGGCCTGTGTAATCAATAATTTAATTGAAGAAAATGAAATTAATATAATGTTTATATAATATGAAACTAATTTGATACTAAAGTTTAAACTACTTTTATTTTATACAAAATTTAAATTAAAAACAATTTATAAATTTATCAAAAGTATAGTAAACAAAAAATAAGTCTAAAAAATAAGGACAATTTTAAAGTACTTATAAAAATATAAAGTAAATCACTTGAAATATTAAGCACCTTCATCAAATGGATTGCCATCATATTGACCAAGTATTATAACATAATCTTGTGTTTGTAAATATCTAGCACAAACGGTACCACTACATTGATAAATCATATCATTGCATAAATTGAAATAAATTCTACAACCAGTTTGATTGCTGATATTATTAATAAAGCTACTTTTGGACATTGGAGGACATTGTGTATCATTCAAAATGTCAAAATACCAATAACTTGGGCTAATAAAAAAAAACAAGAAGTTCTATTTAAAACTAATTTAAAAAGACCTGTAAAACGGGAATTAGGTAATTAGTCAACTCTCTCTGTTAGGCTTTTCTTGTAACAACTTTCTGCATTTACAAAGAAAATGAGCAAAATATCTATAGAATAAACAAAGTAACCTAAAATAAGTTCTCAACAAAAAAAGCTCATATATGGGTCATTCCATATGAAATTCCCAAGATCATGACACCCTTGGGTCTCAGAATTTTAGTTAAAAATACACATGGGCTCCAGATATCTTCAGTTGAAATAATGCTGACTCTGCATTTAAATGATTAGCTAAAGTGACTACAAAGCAACTTTGACATATAGTATCTTCATAATGACTTATGGAAATTTCCTAAAATTTGGTAACCCAATAGATATTTACTTAAGGAATCCAAAAATACTTCACTCAAAACTCCATTATCTCAGGAAATGCCTTGTTTATCCAACTTTGTTCAAAATTATTGACTTCATTTCATAAACTATTAAATTCATGATTTTTGGGGGTAAAATGAATTTTTGGGGGTAAAATCTTTGGCCCAAAATCCGAGTAAAAAGATTAATTGTATATCATTATTATACTGAAAAAGTCTACTGAAAAAAATTAGATCTCCCTGGATTTTATTTACTTTGTTTTTTTTTTTCATACATAAAATGAATTAATAATGAATAGTTATTAAAATTCAATTTAAAAACTTTTTACTTTAAGTTTGAGAAACAATTTATTTTAATTATTTTAATTCCAATCAGTGAATGCTTACCTCTTATTATATCAAAAATCAGATTTGATATAGAAATTTAAAATAAAAAATTTATTATTAAAAATTGTATATTTTCAGTTATTTTAAAAACTTAAAACTAAATTTGTTTCTTAGGTAATATAAAGATTTCCCTAGACTTGGTAAATTTGTTGCAAGAAAGTTATGCTTATGTAACCCCAGGTTGGAAATTCTGCAGTAAATGTTATAAAAAAGTAGTAGAAACTGATGAAGATTTAAATTCAAAGAAGGAATGGGAATCAAAAATTGAAAAAAAAAATTAAATTAGATACCACTATAGGATGGCTTGGAATTTCACCAGTCAAACTAAAAAGTCTTTCAAAATACAGCAAACTGTCTGCAGCAAAACAAAAGTTTGAGAAACGTTTGAGATGAAGAAAAACAAAAGTTTGAGAAACATTTGAGATGAAGAAAAGTTTCCAAAAATGGTCTCATTAACATATGACATTAAAGAAACTTCTTTAACAGAAATAAAAAGCCTTATTTTAAACCACATCATTAACAATAACCATGATCTAGACATTTTAATGTATGAAATAAATAAAAAAAATTTCAGAAGCTGACTCTTTTTGCCATAAAGTGCAAATGTTAACACTCACACCAAAATCATGGACACATACAAAGATATCAAGCTACTTTAAAGTGTCTGAGTATTTTGTTTAAACTGCAAGAAAAGTTAAAAATGAGCATGGAATTCTATCATTGCCTGAAAAAAAAACTGGAAACCCACTTTCACCAGACACAATTAATTTAGTAATTAACTTTTATCAAAGTGATGAGTTTTCAAGAATGATGCCAGGATCAAATTACAAAATTTCTCATTGATGCCATTAGGTGGAATAAAAGTAATAAAGATTTCATGTCATTGACTGTTTGTTCTCTTAATGCAGAATGTATGTTGCATTAATGTAACCAATGCCCTGGTATTGAAGCATTAAAATGTTTTTTAGTGCAGGAGTTTAATGACCATGAGCTCGAAGAAGATGTAGCATTACAATCATTGCCACTAGATGAATTTAATGAATTATTATGTGACAGCATTGATAACCTTACCACTTATTCATATATTGCTAAAACACAAAATAAATACTTAAAAAACTGTAAAGAAAATCTTAACCAAAATGAATGCTTTATTTTAAAGAAAGTCTAAAACAATTAACTACTAGGCAGATTTTATCCAATTGCATCAAACACTATGTTATAAAAAAAACAAGCATTGATACATGTATTAAATTATTTGATATCATTCCAAAAAACAAACATAATAAGGAGATTTAATTAAACATTAAATATGGATTATATTGCATGTTTTTATGATGGATTTTGGTGGGTAGGGATTGCTGAAGATGTAAGTGAGCTTGATATAAAAGTCAGATTCATGCACCCACATGGACCAGATAAAAACTTTTTTTTAACCAATGAGAAATGATGAGTGTTGGGTACTCAATTCTGAAGTTATATGCCTAATTTCTACACCCACAACAATAACAGGTCATAAGTACAACATATCTGCTTTGAATTTAGAGAATATAAGCAATTGGTCACAAAAAAAAAATAAGTACATTTAAAATAATTTTGTTGTCATTTTATTTACCTATTTTGCATTTAGAATTTGTCTTTCTATTTTTGTTTTTTTTCAAATTTTTGGATGGAAGGCTGGAAAGGAGGGGGGATTAAATAAATCCCACTGTCCACCTTATTATGTCAATGACTATATTAGTCTTAAACTACTAAATAATACCATAAAGATATTGGTTGTTAAAATGTTTTAAAAAACATTTCAATATCTTTGGTTTAAAACTTATAATTTTTAAAATCGTGAAAAGATCTCAGTTTTTAGTGCTTACTTTGAAAAGCATTTATCAACTTAGCATATTAGGTAACCAATATTAAAACATATTTAGGTAAGCATTTATCAATTTGAAACAATAAAAACAAAAATAAAAATATGTTTTTAAATTGAATTTTAATAACTACTAATTAATTCATTTTATGTATGAAAAAATAAAATAAAATAAAATCTGGGGAGATTGGGGAAGGGGGGGGGCAGAGTGGGTCAAAGTCCCTTGGCCAGTCCTTGGCCCATGACTATAAATGTCCTAAGCTAGTCATTAACACTATTTTATGTTTTATTCAAATAAATGTTTTAAAAAACATTTCAATTGCTTTCGTTACAAAATTTTTTTAAAAAGATGAATTTTTAAACGCAAATTTTGATCAAGTATTAGAGACAATTGATGAATATAATTTTTTTTAGTAGACCTAAGATAATATAATGATATACAATTAAACTTTTTGCTTGGAATTTGGGTCACAGTCTTCATTTTACCTCTAAAAATCATGAATTTACAAGTCAATTTTGTACCCCTACTGGGGTACCAAATTTTAGGAAATTTTCCCAAGCCATTATGAAGATACTATATGTCAAAGTTGCTTTGTAGTCGCTTCAACTAATCACTAAAATACTGAGTTAGCATTATTTCAACTGATGATATCTCTGGAGCCCATGTGTATTTTTAACGATTATTTTCTCAGTTATTATATTTTTAATATGGACTGCAAGTGAGGTTAAAATGAACAAGTTCTGAGACGTAAGGATGTCGAAAATGTTTTTTTATTATGATTTCATATGGAATTACTCATATGTAAAACTCTATATGTAGATAATAATGGGTTTCGGTAGGTCTCCTAACTGATTTTTTAATAACTGAATACAAACTTATATTTATAAATAATAAAAACGTAAAAATTGTTAAAGGTACTAACTATAAAAATATGAATTACAACATTTCAACAATATTTAAATAGTTTTTAGTAAATGGCATGAATATAAGCGATATTTTGCTTCAACTTTTAAAAAATGATAAAATTGAAGACTTAAATTAGCACATTTATCCATAAATATTTTATTTCCTTTACAATATTTGGTCATAGATTATGAAGTTTAGCATTTTAGTGGTTTTTACACTTTATGGTTTAAAGAGTGTTCTTTTATTGTTTTCACTTTTCAAAGATAATTTATCAGATTTTAATTTTTGAACAAAATATAAGTCAAAGATATTTATTAAGTTTCTTATAACATTTTTTAATTATGAAGAAACTCCTATTTTAAAAAAATTGAAGAAATTCCTATTATTAAAGTAATTGCAAATATAGTATTAGTATAATAAAGAACTATAGTTTTGTCAGATCGATGATTAAATTTTGACGGAAACAAAAGCTCAATTTAATGCCTGCAAAATATAAGTCTTTGTAAGCCTTTGCAGGTGAAATTTTTTAATTTTTATTATAAGATATGTCATTGTTTGTTTTTAAAATGACATATCTTGCAACCATCGCATTAAAGCAAAAGTAAAATGTTTCAAGTTAATGTATATCACTTTGAAATATATTAAATAAAGCATTAAAAAAATTATACTACAGCAAACCATAACTCTTTCGACTCAAAGTAATTTATGCATACCTTAGTAAATCACCAGCGTAGTATCCTTCGGGACCGCAAAGATCTGCATTAACATAAAGTATGTGTAAAGTTATTAGAAAAAACAACATTTTTATTAAGTAATAAACTTTTTGTAAGGTTTCAATATTTCTATGATGAAGGCCTCGTCAGTAGAAAACATTAACATTCAATGTTTTCTAGGAGACGACTTCAACCGATGTCAATTTTCAATTTGATAAAAATTATCCTTTTAGCTCATGACTGCTTCCACATCAGTCAGCATACGTTGACGAAATTTGTGCATATGTGCATATACGTTGACGAAATTTGTGCATATTATGCCAGATTGTCCGACTTATCAATTAGCTGAGCTGAACCCGCCTTCGGTTCACTATCAAATACAACTCGTTGGATTGGTTATGTATTTATTAAAATGGGAAATATTGTTATAGATTAAATAATAAGATGACCCATAAAAGCAAAAAAAAAAATTTTTTTCAGAATATGAACATGCCAAGGTTTCCTATCCATTACACACCACATAAAGAGTCTACCAAAAAAGTATTTTAAATTAAATATGTTGGAAACAGCTATAAATAAAAACTAATTTAATTCAAAAATAAACTTCCGTAAAAATGGAACGTTTTCAACTTTATCAAAAACATGTAATTTTAAATTGTTTGTTGAAACTGTTTGCTTTAATAAAAATACATTTAAAAAAAAGTCACTTGTTACAATTATCTTCTAATATCTCTGGATTTAGTTTTCAACAGTGGCATGTTTTGAGAGACAAGTTTTTTGTGCTCTCAAAAATCCTAAAGTTTATTTTTTTTTAAATATAATTGATGCTGATTTCTTTCTTCTGTTTAAAAATGTTATGCCAGTACATATAGCAATGATGTTCTCTGATATTTTAAAATATTCTACCAGATTCTAGAGTATAATAGCAATAATATTAGTTTTTCCTCTGTCCATAGGAACAACCCCAAGAAGGAAATCATTGATCGATGAAAACTCCGGGAATTGTAATTGATACTGCTAGTTTATTAATAAAAATACTTTTCCTCAATTTTTCTTTTATGTGCTTGAAAATTTTCCATCAAAGTGAAGCACCAATGATTTGTTTCCATATTCAAATTCCCCAAAAGATTAGGGAAAGAATAGGGGAAGGAAAGTTAGTGAGCATGATCAATATGAGTTTGAATAAAATAATATGAATAGAAATAAACAAAAGCGTTTTTATTGCACATCAACAATATTCCTCTGTTGCTATCTATTGAAATGCTGCTTACTGAATTTTGAAAATCCCCCTGAAACTGAATTTTAACATGATAACATATTTATATTGATTGATATTATAAAAATATTTGAAATTATCTCAATAAATATCTTATACAATGTATAGGATATTGTTTTATCTTACAAACATGTACAAAATACCAGTTTATAAAAAAATCCTTTTAAAAATGGATTTTTACTTGAAGCTATTGTAAGCATTCAGCACACTTAAAATTTTGCATGGGAGCTCATATCAATTTTTAAAATCCATAAGGCAACTTAGCTCAAAAAAAAAAGTTTTTTTGCTATTTTGGGTCACCCTACTGTATAGCTAGTAGGAGGTGTCATATTATTTTTTTCTTCTGGATTAAAAATTCTGTGTTCTAAAAACTTGTTCTTTTATATAACATTACTAAAAAAAGCTTTGATCAAAAAATCCGACATGATTAAGTTAATGGGAATCGTGATTTAGGATTTATTTAACCTCGCGGAAAATTTCTTACAATAATATATAATATAAAAATAAAATAGCAAATTTTTGCTTGAGGTTTTAATGGATTAAACTTTTTTTTAATCTTTTTTTATCTAATACCATTAAAACTTTTATAATAGTTTCTATTTATAATCATTCATCTATCATTAAGTTATCTATTTAACAAAATAAGAATTCTTTTTTTATTCAATAGATAACTTTTATATATAAATAAATTTTATAAAAATTTTTTAACAAAACAAAATTTACATTTTTTTATTTTTGTCATTAAAATGAAACCTTTCTTTAACCAATTATTAGGTATAACTCCCACAACAAACTCAATTATTAATTTATACATAAATTAGTTATTGACTTTGTTAATAGTAAATAATATAAATGTAGGCATTACCCGCCCAAATGAGGGAAAATGATTTTTTGAAAAAAAAAAAAAAATACTTTCTTTAATAAAATTCAAATGTGTATATAAAATATATGTATATATAAAATATTTAAACTTTAATAAAATTCAAATGTGTAAATAAAATATTTAAAGTTTGATCAAAAAATCATTTAGCGTTCAAAAGTTATAGCCATTTAAAGTTTAAAACCCTCTCAAAACGATTTGGTTGTAATATTAAACTGGGTATAATTTCTAAACAATATAATATTTTTCACAAAGAATTTAGAATTTTAGAACATTAACGATATTCCACCTAATTTAGGATATTAGAATTTATATTTAGAAATTCTCGATTCTCCCCACATTTCGGCAGGTGATACCTACTATTTAGGGTTTTTTTGTTCCCAGGCTCTTATCAGCGCATTATTTGGCAAATCATCCTTAAATGACTAAAGTATAAAAATACAAAATTTTGGAGTTTAGAACTTACCTGAAAGTTATATAACTCAAATACCAAAAAATCCTGGATCCGCCCCTGGATTAATTTTCAGAACAGCTACGTCATATAATAATTTTCCAATACTGCCTGTCCATTTTTTGCTGCTCAGAGTCTCTCCATCAAGAGTTTTCATCAGATGATAGAAATTTCATTTGTTTGGAGTGCACAAACCAGGCAGTTAAGTTTTCTTTCTAATTTCACTTCCAGGCAATGTATTGCTCCGCCTGACGACCATGTGTTAACACTAGTAGAATCATTACCTATCGCCTTTAAACTTTTATCGGTACCATTATTTTTCAAAAATTTATATTTAAGGCCGGGTGAATAAAAAAAAGCAGTTGCTTTTACTTAGCTCTTTTCGAGTAAATTTTCAGCTTTACGCGAATAAAATTTTAGGAAACTCGCTCAAATTTTTTTTTCATGTAAAATTAAGCAATTTACTCCAAAAAAAATTTCTGTAAGAAAAATATATTCATCTTATAGATAACAAAACTTTTTCGAATTGCATAGACTATAATAAGATAGAAATACTATATACCTTGTCTTTAAAAACCATTTTTGCATCTGCTTATACGAATAGTTTGTACATTTAGAGTCAATGTAATAGGCGAATGCCTCGTGATGGTTTAACTGCCTACCACTACAAAAAAAAAGTTTTTTGACTTTATTTTTTTTAATGTTTTTAATTTTTCTAAAAATAGCAGCTTGGTTTCTATGCCTTTGCAAAAGACATGCTACTTCAAAAGCAGTGGTCAACTCAGTTATACTTTGAAATTTTACTGAGTCATCAACCTTCCGTTTTTTAGCTTTGAGTCATTAAAGTTTTTTTTGGTCCGTCCACGAATTCCTCCAGATCATGAAAAAGGATATTGTTGATTTATAAATAATTCAAATATTACATCTACTTCTAATCAATTTTTATTTTTGTCTAAAAAACGGTCCACCGTATAAGCTGCGGACCATTTTATTGCAAACTTTGATATCATACATGAAACTTTTAACTGCAAAAACCTTTCTGAATCTTTAGTTACATCAGCTATATCATAACACCGAATCTTTTCAAAATAAAATCCAACAAACGAGAATTTCTTTTTCTTGGTAAAGTTTCCACCATACTTTAAATAACTCCTCTTCTGAAAAAGAGCACACATGATCTAAAAAAATTAAATTACAAAAAATTTTGCAAGTTATTATTAATGCAGGGCAATGGTTATAAAAATATTAATAAATAATCAATTTCTTGAAATGTCTTGTGTCCACCTAGCTTGTATAAAACTGTTTGCTTGAGTTCTTGAACTGACTTGTGACCACCAAGCTTGTATAAAATTGTTTGTTTGATTTCTTGAACTGACTTGTGTCCACCAAGCTTGACCCAAGTTAAGATGCCATATTCAAAATGGTACAGTCTCTATCTGGTAGCAAATTGCTTGCTTCAATTTTTATGAAGCGATACTTATGGACGCTGTTTTTTTAATGTTGTTTAGCAAGTCAAACGTACCTATATCTACTTTGAACTTTCTAAATGTAAGGTGGTAAATTGTGGCTGTAATCTAATTACTACTTATATGGTTATTTAACAACATATTTAAATTACATGTTTTTATTATTTCTTATCTTACTTACTATTTGGCCCGGCGGGAAATCGGCTAGCGAATAGCTAGCTATAATCGTAACAATAAAGATAGCAATTTGGCCACGAGGATCGGTAGCTTTTTTAAGTTAGCGAAAAGCTATCGATATTTGTAAACTAAAAACAGACATTTGGCTAAGAGGACAGCCAGCTTAATAAGCTAAAGACCCACAGGCTGTTGTAGCTTGCGTCATATTGTAATAACGTTGCTGTCAAAAAAAATTTGATATGTAGCTATCAACCAGCTATAGATTTGAAAATACTTTGTAGCTAGCTACAAAGCTACGATATTTAGCTAGCGACATATTGCTATAAAATCGCAATTTTTAAAATTTAATTATTCTCATAATTATAATAGATTCAACACTAAAAATCGAATTTTTAAAGATGTTAAAGACATTAGGAAATACTAAAATAGGAAAAAAAAATCGCTACAAAAACGCTATAAAGCTAGCCAGTCGCTAGCTCATTTCCCACCAATGATGCTCTTCATACATTATGCATTGTTCTTATGGTAAAAATATAAGAGTTAGACCATGTATTTCTACTTTATATATTCTTTACTGCAATCACTCACAAACAATCTTTTTTTGCAAGTTAGAATACTTTTTCCTATTTTCAAAAACCGTTAAAAAAATTTGCAGCAAATAATTGTTTACAGGATCTATTATATAAAGCAACTTATCAACATTTTCATAATAGCTTCTCAATTTAATTATAATTTGTCTATAACCGTTATATTGTAAGAGAGGAAAATAAAAATTCTCTCCTGAAAATAATCAGATTAGTGACCAATGGGCAAATGAAACACCACAAAATTTATTCTGGGTCTAAAATATAATCAGTTTTAGTGCTTTACTATATTCCTATGTGCTATAGCACATAGGAATATAGTAAAGCACTAAAACTGAATAGTATTGGTTCGAAAGTAAAAAAATCCGGACAAATATTTGTTTTAGTTGTGGTATATTTAACTTTGTCCCGGTAACTTTGTTTGAAATAACTAAATTCTGATAACTCTTCATCCGAAGCAATTCAAATCAATAACAAATTAGATTTTTCTATCGACTTTTTACAGATGTCGTTATGTCAAAAAAGCTTTTAGATCTTGATATTTTTACGCTATTAAACTCTTTAAAATTCCAGAAGCTTGGAAAAAATAACAATGGCTTATTTAATTCGTTCAGACTAAAAACACCAGTGGTTGTATCCCAAAAGGTTTTTTTTTTTTTTTTTTTTTTTTAAATAAATCACTTTCAAATTTCAGCTGAAGATTTTAAAATTATAATAATTAAATTTTGTTTGAATTTCTTTTTTAATTTTAATACTGTTTCCTTAATTTTAAAGCTTGCTTTTACACACCGATTCTATCATAAAACAGCAGATGGTTTATGTTCGTTATGGTTTGAGAAAACTTTGAAAACAATTTGTGTTCGCTATTTTACACAAGAAAGGTTGGTATACTTTTTTGGATCAAAGAAATAATAAATGGAAGAATTTTTTCTCTATTAAAGGAAATAATTTTGTTAAATTGTATTTTGTGTAAAAAAAAAGGTTATTCATTTTGTAAAGTGTTTTACAAAGTATTATTTTTATTACAAAAGCAACAGTATTTTGTGAACAACTACTCTTTATATAATTCTTTTTAAAAGAAACATCTAATAACTATATTGTTTGCAAGCAACTTTTGCTTTATGTAATGTATGTTATCAGTGCAGTTTGATAGATGGCTTCTGACCAGAAAGCATTAATTATTATGTCATTTTATCTTATTAAGTTTTTAGTATTTTAAGTCATTTGAACTGATGTTTTTTTTTTATATATAAATCGTAAAACCTGTTGTCATTTAATTTGAAGTTTAAAAATTGATGCCTGAATTATATTAGGTAGTGGCTCTCATTTTTAGTGCAGTAATATTTTTCTTTAAATTACATAAAAAATGAAATTTTTCTTGAAAATAAAAACTCTAAAATAGTGTTATTGGTTACAAAGGAAAATTAGACTGCTCAAATTATTATCTTATTTATAATTTTTTTTCACTGTTGAGAGGCTCAGAGCGCCATTGGAGTTGAGAATGTTTTTTTATTATTATATTTTGATTGTTATTATTTTTTCATTGCTGTAACAACTCTCAACCTGTTTAACTTCGAAACAAGAGACTTGTCAAACAAAGTTGCAGCATAAAGAAACAAGTTAAGCACCATACTACCTGGAAGATGATTGGGATCAAACTTTAATCTTCTTGTTTATAGAGAGATTGCTCTACCACTACACTACTACTGTATACCTGGGATTTAGTTCAATGAATGCCTTACTGATATACTAATAATAATTATAGTTATAGGAGAAAGAGGGTAGAAATTGATTATGATGATGATGATGATGATGATGATGATGATGATGATGATGATGATTATGATGATGATGATGGCTTATTTATACTGATTTCATAAAATTTGTTATCTTTATTTAGTTTCTTGTCATTAAATGATTATAACACTGTTGTTGAGAAAACTCTTGAAGACCTGCATGATCATTTTGATATTTTAGCAGATCAGGGTTATTTTAGCAAAGATTACGACTCAACATTAACAGTGAGTCTCTTTTTCTGCATTATGTTATTTCTATAAATACATTTTATACATGCAGTGTAATATGAATTAACATTTCTAATAAGTAAATAGTTCTAACAAAAATCATTGCATCAATTTAGAGGGGTGAGAAAAAGTTGTGCTCCAAACCTTTTGTAAAATTATTGTGTGTCAACCTAAAAAGAACACAGATGAAAACAAAATAAAAGCCACACCTTGAAATATTTTGCTAATTTAATAATATAACATAATACATAAGGAGTCAACCCTCGGATTTTAGGTCGGCATTTGCCAATGCTGACCTAACTGCTGGCCTGAATGTGTTTGAGGTCAGCAAAAAATTGCCAACCTCGTTTCTATGTTTTAAGGTAAGACCTTTGTATTGAATAATTTTTGCCGACCTGATGCTCACCTTTAAAAGATTGAAGTCGGCAATAATTTGCCGACCTCATTATTCCTAATTCCAAGGGTTGAGGAGTTAACAATGGTGTATATATTTTTGGCAAAATATTCATTGCATAGATGGAGTATAGACAATCTAACGTGTAAAATTGCTATGTTTATATTTAATATTTTTCAGAAAAACTGTATTTGCGCTATATATGCTGAATAAATGCATTAAAAATTCCTTTTTTAATAATTTTGGATATTAAATTTTTTCAATAGAAAACTTAGTTTTTATAGTATTGTAGAAATTATTGACATTTGATCTACTAAATGTCTACTTTTATCATTTGTCTTTAAATTGGTTTATAGATTTTAAATAAAATAACAGAAATCAAAAATTTTAAAGTTTAACAAGAGTTTTCATTTAAAACACTAAAAGGTGATATGTTTCTGCTGCCTTAGTAAAAATAAAGCTAATGATTTACTTTAGAAAAAGTTTAAAAATAAAGCTAATGATTTACTTTAGAAAAAGTTTAAAACAGGAGTATGACATTAAAGTTTTTAAATGATGCTTTTTGTAGTTTTAGGTAAAACTGATGCGGTGCTATTATAACAACACACACATACACACACACACACACACACACACACACACACACATATATATATAGAAAATTTTTTCACAGATTTTTTTTTTAAAATAAAATTCAATAAAAAATAAAATTATATTTTAGTGATGTTTTTTTTTTACAATTTTTCGACGGCTGTTTTGATGTTTTAACAATTTAAATGCAATTTATAAAATCGTTACGTTAGCAATAACTTTCAATTGCTGTTTTAAAGCCTTTAAATAAATTTAATTATAATGATTATTTAAAACAAACGCATTATATAAATTAAATGTTATATTTAAATTTTTTCAGTAGGTATGTGTTTTTTATGAAATTTTTAATTGTTAAAAACTATTATTCCATATCTTTGTAAAACTATTATTCCATATCTAAGTTACTTTAAATTATGAATAAGTTGAAGTCTTGCTATAATTTAATTGCTTCTTTTGTTTCTGTTTTAAAAAATAATTTTTTTTTTTTAAACTTGACTTACTAATCAAAGCATGAAATGATTAAAGATTTCTATTTTAAATAGACTACATTATTTTTTTTAAACAACTTTTTAAAAAAAATGTTTACACAACTTAAAGATATAATATTTTTTCCTTTTCAATAATTTTATTTCAATTTTCAATAATTTAAATAAAATTTGTTCATTTATTAAACAACCAATAGATGTAATTTGTAAAAGCGTTTTGTATAACTTTAATAAAACATTTCCAAAGATATGTATCAAAGTATCAATGTTATATCGATGTTGTATCAATATATCAATTAGGGTGGTCCATAAAACAACTTTTTTGAGAAAAACCTGCTGACACCCCCTAAATGTGTTTTATCTAATGCAAAAACACTAGGTTTAAAATTTTTTTGAACAAAAATTATTTTTAGGGGTAGCTCAAGGCCCTCAAAAATTTGACGGGTCCCTAATATTTTGAAAAAAAAACTTTTTCTAAAGTATGTCAACCTGGTACTCAAAATAAGCAAAATTATATAAAAAATTTAAAAATGATAATAATTTTTTATAAAAATAATTTTTTAGGTATAAATGCATAAAAACTATTGTTTTTAAGCTGAAAATAAAAAAAGTCAATATTTTCAGGTTTTTTGAGAATAATTTTTTTTAGGCATGTTTTTTATGTAAAATGATTATTATTTTTGAAGTTTTTATACAATATCGCTTCTTTTGAGTACCAGGTTGACATACTTTAGAAAAAGTTTTTTTTTCAAAATATTAGGGACCCGTCAAGTTTTTGAGGGCCTTGAGCTACCCCTAAAAATAATTTTTGTTCAAAAAAATTTTAAACCTAGTGTTTTTGCATTAGATAAAACACATTTAGGGGGTGTCAGCAGGTTTTTCTCAAAAAAGTTGTTTTATGGACCACCCTAATATCAATATTTATTAATAATATCACATCATAATGCATTGAGTATTATATGCTTCAATATACATTAAGATTTTATGCTGTTATATTACTATAACATAATGAATTAATAATATTATACAAAAATATAACAATATTATTATTATATTACATTATACAATGTTTTATTACTAAAATTTATAACATCTTAATAAGATGTTAAATTATTATGAATGCGGTTATATTTGTGTTAATATATTATTGTTAACTTTACTATAATATATACAATTTATATACATAAACTGTATATATTATAGTATATAATTTGTATATAAATTGTATATCTTATAATAAGATTCTTCATAATATATCAATTTGACATTATATGCTATATATATATATATATATATATATATATATATATATATATATATATATATATATATATATATATATATATATATATATATATAATATATATATATATATATATATATATATATATATATATATATATATATATATATATATATATATATATATATATATATATATATATATATATATATATATATATATATATATATATATATATATATATATAGCTAGAGCTATATATGAGTCATAATATTACAGCTTTTTTTAATATTTAGTGATTTTAATGTTATGACAAAGTAAAAGGAGCTCATAGCTAATGCAACTTTTCTTTCTTAAATTGAGCTGAGTAAGTTATTAAAAAAAAAAATATTGAATACCATTTCAGCTTGGTGAATACCAATTTTTTGCACTGTACTTATTAAAGCTCTTACCTAAGTTTTGTTAAACACAACTGAGTTTTGTGAATATGAATTTGAGAGTTTTTGATAAACTTATTCAGAAAAGTTTGATAAATACGCTCTCAGATTAATTGTTTCAAGATGAGAGATTATAATACAGACTTAAAAATTATTTTTTTAAAATATAGTTCAAATGCTGTGAAGCACCAGACAATATCTATGACACCCAATACATTATTTGTTTACTAATTTAGCAAGTTTTTTCACTTTCTCTGCCATTACATCTACATATTTTCTTTAATCCCTACACATTGATTTTCTTTAATTCCTACACATTGTTGTTCTTTAATCTCTACACATTGATGTTTACTTAGTCTGAACACTTATTTATACATATGAAAATATGTGTAAAAGCTTTTTCTGTTATTCTTGTTTCTTATTTATCTTTTAATTTTTGTTTCTTATTTATCCTTTAGTTTTTCTTTAGTTGATTTTTTTATTGTTTATTTCTCATGTTTTCTTTTAATTGTTTTATTGTTTATTTCACTGCATATTATCTACCTTTATTAAATTAAAAGTATTTTTCTATCCAATCCATTTTAATTTCTATTAATTTTTTAGTTTTCAGAACATTTTCTAAATTCATAACCGAATACCTTTAATTTTCATTGCACTATATCTTTTGTGAGTTCTAACAATAAAGCGTGCTCATCTTTTCTACATCAAAAGTCTAGTAATTAAAATTAAAAAACACTAGTAATTAATTATAATAATTTTTTGATTTAAAAATGCGATCATGCTGCTTTTAAACAAGCCAAATTTTAAGTCATTGTTATTTTAAGTTTACAGAAGAAAAAAAGTGTAATTGATGAAACTATTTTGTTATGAAAGTTTAAAGAAATTTCTTGTTAAAAAATGAAAGATTAAACTCTTGACTTTGTTCTACTGCTACTTACCTACTGCTGCTTATCTACTGCTAACTTTGTTCTATTGCTACTTACCTATTGCTAACTTTTTTCTACTGTTACTTATCTACTGCTACTTACCTACTGCTAACTTTGTTTTATTGCTACTTACCTACTGCTAACTTTATTCTACTGCTACTTACCTACTATTAACTTGTTTTGACTTGTTCTTAATCATTTAATACTTATGATATTTAAAACTCTTTTCTTTATTTAAAATTTATTTTTTCTTTTTATTTATTTTTACCTCATTTAAAATATTTATAACTATTTTTATTTAGGATGGTGTGTTAACTATAAAGTTAGCAGGTACAGTTGTTCTAATTTTAATTTTTCGCATTATCTTTTTTAGCTTTTTCTTTCTTCTTGTCAATCTATTTCAAAGTTTATCTAGTAAATCTGTTTAACATATTAGAAATGTAATTAATTTGCATCAAAAAGGCAACTAAATCTTTTTTAAAATTTTCAGGATGTCATTTGTTTTCCAAAAACCAAAAATATAAATTATGCTGCAAAATAATAAAGTTTAAGTTCTAATTTAAAGTTCTCACTTCAAGTCAAAAAAAAAAGGAAGAAATATTTTTTCTTTTGACTTTTTTACTTCGGTTCTTCTTACCCAAACCCTCTGTTGATATATACAGATGCCCACACAATTCTTACCCAAACCCTCTATTGATATATACAGATGCCCACACATTTCTTCCCAGACAATATCACTAAAGACATTTCATGTGCAGCTAAATTAATATTTTTTGATGTTTTTTATTAACATTAGGTACACATTTTGTATGTATACTACACAAGTTGTAAGTATACTACACAAGTATGACAAGTTGTTATCAATGACAACATGTACACAGTTGTTAATGTCTTGAAAATTTTTAATCAAAAAAAGTCAAAATCTGTTTACACAAAAAATTTATTGTGAAAATTTTTCTTTTAGATAACAGGATATATGTTATAAATAAACAAACGCCAAATCGTCAACTTTGGTTATCATCTCCGGAAAGGTATTTTTTTTTTTATAATAATAAATATTTTGTATAAATTTTTTTTTTTAATTTTAAAATATTTTTAATTTAAGTTAAAATGAACTTAATAAAAATGTTAAAATATTTTTTAAAAATAATCATCTTTCATAACTATTTCTCATAACAACCAAACTAGTTTGTGGTTACTATAAAATCAGCTTTATAGTAATCACAAACAATTGTGTCATATATTTTAGAATGTTTTAAAATGTCACCAGTTATATTGAGTTATATTATAGTATGAACTCATTTAAGTGATAAAGGATTGCATAAAAGATAATTGGTTGCAATGCACACTAAACATCTTTTGTTATTGTTAATATTTTTAGAATGTTTATAATTCATTTCTAGTCTTGGACTTTTGATTGCTTTTTATTTTTACAAATTCACTTCCAACAAGTCTACAGAAAGCCACTGTTTGTTTATAGAAACCAGTTACAGAAGACATAAAAAGCTGCAAATAATGTGAATGAATAAAACACAAACAGTGTAGACTTTCATGCTGATGTATTCAAACACAAACAGTGCGTTGTGCTGATAAATGCAAATAAGGTAGGGTTTTGTGCTGATGTATGCTATACAAACAGGCTAGAGTTTTGCACTACTGTATGAATAGTAACTTACAACTTTTATTCAAGGCTAGAATTTATAATATTGTTGTACCACCAGCAAATAAAGTCACTTTATTGGTAGAATTGTCTTTATTTTTAAGAAACAATATGAGATATATGATAAAATTCTTCATTACCCCTTAAAAGAGTGAATATCATTGATTTGTGTTGAATTCAAGGTGAGGTATCAATAGTTTATTGTTTAAAGGTTAAGGTTTGGTAACAGCAACAGGAAGAAAAAAAGGTTTATTTTTATATTACTTAGAACAGGTAGCTAATCTTATATGTAGTTTCTATATGTGATAGCTTGGGAGTTGCAGTAGAGGTAGTTTTTAACCAAACAAAACTTAGCAGTTTATTTAATTTATAATTGCAATTATTGTTTTTCACCAAACAATTATTAGCAGCGAACAATTGTTCGCTGCTAATAATTGTTGCAGTAGTATTACTACTGCGGTAATACTACTGCAACAATATTGCAGTCAGTTGGTTAGAGCATCAATCGAAAAGTTAAAACTCTGACTGTTGTATGATACGAGTTTAAATCTTGCCACCACCAACTCAGCGCTTGTGTAGTACTTCGGTACGCAAAAATGTTGGTCAATAATGAACGCTACTTCGGATTAGTCTTAATGACTATTTGTGGTTGTTCCTATGATGAGCAAATATATCTTCAGATATAACATTGTATAGAAAAATATAGCATGAAAGTTCAAATAAATGAAAAAATAATGGCAACTATTTTAATAAGTCCTCTACTTTACATCTTCTTTGATTAACTTTCACAACTATTTATGGAAACTTTAAATCTAATCAACTGCAATGTTAATATCTGCTAAGTTTGCATCGCTTTGTAGTGCTTTGTATTTGCATCGCTTAACCTTTTCTTACTCTTGATTTTATACCTTTATAACTTTTTTACTTGATTTAGTATGGTATAATATTTTCAGATTTGTGTTAGTTTTTCTAATGAGGCCATTATTCTTTTTTAATATTGTTTCATCTAGCTATCAAGCTTGAGTCTCTATCCCATCTTCGGTTGGATTTGTTCTATTGTTACAATTATGCAATTATGCAAATGTAGTTTGCTGTTAATAACTACAGCAATATTTTTATATTGATTAATGTCAACAAACTTACTGAGACCTCTACTTTATGTCTTCTTGGATTTTCTTTTACTACTGACGTCTTATGGAAACTTAGCATCTACTAAGGTTTCTTACTTCTGATTCCATTCTTTAACTCTATATTCATTCGTTTTTGTATGTATTTCAGTTGTTGTTCTATAAACCTCTCATCCGTTTTTGCATGGAATTCAGTTTTTTATGGAATTCAGAATTAAGGCTGTTTTTTTTAATCCCTCTTTTAGACAAGGTTCAAAAATGCATAAAAGTCCCAATGCCATAAGGTTGCATCTCTCACAATTTTCTACAAATACTACCACGGGCGCTGTTCAAGAGAGCTATCATTACTTGTTTCATCAACGAAAACACAATGTCTCAAATTTCGACAAAATTTTAACAGTTATGGAAATCATCATTTTAACTGTCCATTAAAGAACGTATCACTACAATCTAAAAATAATATTTAAAATGCCTAACGGAATAAAGCGAATGAGACGGAAAACTTTGATGTACGAAAGTAATCATAATCAAGAGCCAGCTTATAATTTCGATCTCCAATCGAAAAAATCTTCACCGTAACATCGCGATTTAGTTTTGAAAACTAATTAAGCTCTTAAATTATTAAGATTTGAAAAAACTTAGAAACAAAAAATGCCATGTCAATTTTTGACAAAAAAAAGACTTGCCATTTTTTTGTCATCTTGCTTTTACTGTAATTGATCCTTCGTTAAACTTTTAAGTTATAATTTTTTTTTTCTACATTAATTTTTTGCATTTTTCTGTCTTCAATCTCGTTAACTCTGGCTTATGAAGACTTTGACTTGCTGCGCCACTGCTACTGCATCTCTTTTACTTTTATCCTTCAGGTAAATTTATTAAATTTTATCCATCAAAAAACAATATCAAGAAATGGTCGATGGAAAGACGGCGAATGGTGGAGTTTAAATGAAAAGGATAGTTAAGTGTTGCTTAACAAAAAAAGCGTAAAAAATAATCAGAATATTCAACTCAGTTTAATGACAAATATAAAATTAATGTATAAGAATATGTCTAGACCAACAATATGGTTATTTGAGCTTTTGTGAATCAGATTAAATTAATATTGTTAAGTTTTTATTCTTTCTGTACAATTTATTCATTCTGTACAATGGCGCAGCTTATAATTTATTGATTAAATCTGAGAAGTTCAAAGAAAGTAAAATATACATTATTATATCTATATAAATATAATACATATATAAATATAATATGTTAAATAGAAACATGTATAAAATGAGATCAACTAATAATAATTTCTAATTGTAAATTAAACTGGAAATTTTTTTTATTAAACTAATTTTTTATTTTTATTTTAGCGGACCTAAGCGGTACGATTTTGTGGATAACTCTTGGGTATATTCCCACGACCCTACTGACACTATGCACGAATTTCTTTCAAAAGAACTACAAACGTTATTTAAAAAGGAAATTCAACTTTCACATTTATCGTATGCAAAACGAAATTAATCTTTTACAAGGAATAACAATTTTAGTTCTTAACGAGAAAAAATGGTTGGATATAAAACACCCTAAAAATGCTTAGAAATGAAACACCTAAAGTTGTTTACATCTGCAAGTTATGATTTTCAGACATGTTATAAGAGCGTCTAAGAATCTTAGCTGTCATGGACGAAGTTGTAACTCTTAAGTTACAGCTTTTACCCGTTATAGGAACTATTTAATTGGCTCGTATTTAACCAAAATATAGAGTTCGAACCTACTTTCTATTTGGTTGTTAAATTTTTTTAAAATTTTTTCATTTTAATAATTAAACATTGTCCATGGAAATTGTTGAAGTACAAAATTTTTAATTATAAACTCGTTGCTAAACTTACTTAAGCAAGAACCTGCATATAGGCGAACTGGCGTAAGGTCCTCAAAATTTATATATATATATATATATATATATATATATATATATATATATATATATATATATATATATATATATATATATATACGCGGTAGTAGTGTAGTGGTAGAGCGCTCGGTTCAAAAGCGAGAGGTTCTGAGTTTGATCCCCACCACGTCCTTGGTAGTACCGCGCTCAAACTTGTTTCTCCGTGTAGTGGCCTTGTTCGTCAAGGTTCGTGTTTTGGAGTTATAGAGTTATAGAGAGGGTTATAACCACAATTATATAGCCTCCTCGTCTGTAGTGGCCTTCTCGGCCTTGGGGAGGTGAATTCAAATATATATATATATATGTATATATAAAAATATATTTATATATACATATATATATATATATATATATATATATATATATATATATATATATATATATATATATATATATATATATATATATATATATATATATATATATACAGGGGTCGAAATAAGTGCCGGACATCGCCGCCCCTCAGACCATTTTTGAGATCTGCTAGATGAGGACAACAAACCATTGTTCAATTTTTCAGTAAAAATGAACAATGGTTGGTTGCCCTCATATAGCAGGTCTCAAAAATGGTCTGAGGGGCGGCGATGTCCGGCACTTATTTCGACCCCTGTATATATATATATATATATATATATATATATATATATATATATATATATATATATATATATATATATATATATATAATTTTTAAATTAATTGGCCAATTAATTGGGATTGGCCGATGCATCGACATAATATATTAGTGCATCGCATATATATGTTGACCGATGCATCACATATATAAGTGACTTGGCCTATAGGCCAAGTCACTTATATATGCACTACTTATATATTGAAATTACATACATAATATGAATATATTACTTTTATATACATACATTAAACCCTATTATTTTAGGTACATTCAGCCTTTTTTTATCATTTTATTACTAATATATATATATATATATATATATATATATATATATATATATATATATATATATATATATATATATATATATATATATATATATATATATATATATATAATAAAAATTAAGATAGTATTACAATGTTTACATAATTAGTTTGCATGGTGCTTAAGTCATAAAAATTAAAAATGATAAGTTTTGCTAACGTAAAACTTATCACCTGGGTGTTCCAGAGGAAGGTTGCTTTATAAAAATTAGGTAGTAATAAAAATAGCTACATGTTTTGTAAACCAATCTACAGTTAGCCGGGTTAAAAAGCACATTTCAACTGGCAGCTTATCACCATTAAAACAAAGCAACTGTGGTCGAAAACGAAAGATCTCAGAGAAAGTTAACCGATATCTAATGCTAAGAATCCAAAGAAGACAAGTGACCAAATAATGAACTATTTAGCTACGCATGATATCCATGTCTGCAGAGTACTGATAACTAATATAAGGTTTGCCAAAAAAACCTTCTAACAAGTAATTATTTACAGATGTCACGAAGAAGCGTCTCTTGCAGGCAAACGAATACAAATAGTGTATTAAATAGCAAAATAAATTTAGAGCTATTTTATTTTATATTATAAAAATTTTTTAAAATTGAAGAGACTTGTTAATTGTTTACTTGTTTATTGATTGGTTGCAAGTTTTATTTTAAGATAAGTCACATTTGAAAGTGCAAGCCTACCGATCGTAATTGGTTCATCGCTCTGGCGGTGAGTCTTTAAGACCCGGACACATTGAGCAACATGCCAAGCGTCCCTTTAAGAAGATGTTTATAGGTTGTTTCTTTAGAATCACTCTACCCAGTTACTGGCATGAAAAACTCTGATACTCGCATTGAGGTTCTACAAACACAATTAGTTCCAGAAATGTTAAAAGTGTTTCCAAATGGAAACGTAATATTGTATCCAAAAAAGTCGGGAAATTCATAGTAGAAAGTAAAATGAAACACTTATATGGCTTTGTAACTCTAAAGAAATTTATTTTTAATGTACTGATGCGATTAATTTGGACTATTATTGTAACATATTTTTGGTAGCGGGTCGTTAAAGCAAAATGACAATGAGAAAACTAGATAATGAAAAACTTTTTAGAAAAGAAGAATGATATTTCCGTAATGAAAAACATGGTAGTAAATATATTATTGAAACTTTTAAAGTGCTTTCCTGAAATAGAGATCTGGTTCTTATCTAAAAAGACTATTACAATATATCACCTTAGAAAAGTCTCAAAAATAAGATTATCTAAAACTTGTTTATATTTCATACATCCAAAATTATCTTACGCACACTAATTTTACATACAAATCCAAACTGAATACTCTTCATATTAGTTAAGCATCAAAATTAGTTTATAATTAAGATAATTTTACACATGTTTTCAAGAATAAAAAAGTTCAAGATTTTTAGTAACAGCTAGACAGATGTTACTAAAAATCTTGAATTTTTTTATATAGTGTATAGGCTATCTATATACTATATAAAATATAAAGGATTTTACCTGGTAAAAAGAAATTCTTGTTTATTAGATTTTATTTTTTCAATGATTTTGTGTAAACCTTTAATATATCTCGAGATTTAGAATGATTTCAAAAGAGATCTCGAGAGAGATCTTTACATTAAAAAGTTTTCATATATTTCATCAAAACTTTTTTAAAAAAGTCTGCATAATAGATGATTTCTTAAAGAAAAATAAAAGCTGTAAAATAAAAGCTTAGAGGGATTAAAGCTTAGCAGATTTAAAAGATATTTTTGCAGGTTTAAAATTAAAGCTTAGCAGAATTTTTTTTTTTGCAGATTTTAGAGGGGATAAAGATTAGCAGATTTAAAATTTAAAATAAGTATATTTCAGCAATGTCTTTTTTCTATCTTCCGAAGGAATTCAAGGACGGCCAAAAAATTAAAATGTTGAACGCTCATCCTTTGAAACCAAAAAAATATATTTAAAGATTTGGTAAAAATGCAAAGTGAGTAATAAAAATAAAAGTGTAAATTTGTAAATTATTATTAAGAAAGTACAAGTAAATCTGATTTTTCGATATTTAGATAATTTTTAACTAACCAGACGTTCGTTGAATACAGAATCAAAGACATTATTGAACAAGAATTACAATGAGAACTATATTTAAAACAACTAAATTAAAAAGGCAAGCTTTAATTAAATAACAATATCAGATAAGAAATTAATTTTACTTAAGTAATATTACGCAATTAATTAAACTAAAAGTGCGACGTCAAATGAAACGTTGAATTATAAGTGTGATGTTACACGATACCACACGATTTTTGAGAGTTTCAATTACACTGTTTAAGTCAATTGTAAAACTCACAATTGTTATGTAAATATTTTATTTCAAATTATTAACCATTCATAACAATAAAGCACATTTTCTTATGAAGAACCAAGTTGTATCACAATTGATGCCATTAGTACCGAAGCAATGCCGACATGAGCAATACCCTCATAGTATTATGACATGATCATGATGCTAGTCATAATTCTAGTATTTTAGTTTTATGATCATCTAGTCATGATTCATGTTGATCATCTAGTCATGATTCATGTTGATCATTTAGTCATCATTAATGTTGATCATCTAGTCATGATTCATGTTGATCATCGAGTCATGATTCTAGTTTTATGACTAGTTGCGTTACCTTGATATCAATACTTTAAGGTATTGTATGTATTGAACCAAATTAAATAAAATCAAATAAATTTCGAAATAAATTACAACATTTCAATGGAACAAGTGCTAATATAAATATCTGAGTATACAACAACAAAATAGACAATGATAAAAATAGTAATACTAATAATAACTGATATGTCAGGTCAGGTTATCTTTATTAAGTCCGGTCAGGTTACCCTGCTATTGGTAACAAGTAACCCAGTACAATCTGCTTCATATCCTGCTGCCTGGTAGGACACGTCTTTTTGGGCAAAGGCTAGAAAATGCCAACTCCGACAAAAAACACCCCCTGCTTTAGATGAGTAAAGGCTACAGATGGTGTCTTGATAAAAATATTCATCTGGCTGCATTTTTGTAGAAGACCTCGTATGCCAAGACTTAAGGGGTAAACAGATTTTATCTGTTGACCTCTCTGATTGCTTGGAGGGGACATTTGAGCTTGAAGAAGATCTTACTTCTGCTACAGCATGGGGCTCACAGTGGCTGGTGAACATAAAACAATTTTTTTTCAGCTAATCGTTATCGCAATAATTTAGACCTTTCTATATTTATGAACGATAATGTACTCAATGAGTCATCTACCCTTCATCTTCTAGGATTAACTCAAACTTCTGATCTTTCTTAGAAACCATATATCAAATCCGTTGCAAAATTAGCATCTGCTAAAGTTGTATTTCTTTACCGAGCTCGACACTTTCTTATTCTGGATTCTATTCTCTATCTCTATAAATCTCAAATCCGGCCTTGTATGGAATATTGTTGCTATATCTGGGGCGGATCTTCTAATGGTGCCCTTTCTATTTTAGACAAGATGCAAAAACGCATTTTAAATATATTTGGATCTGCTTTTGCAGCTAACCAAGATTATTATCAAATTTTCGTAATGTTGCTTCTCTTTCTCTTTTCTACAAATACTATAATGGGAACTGCTCTAAAGAGCTAGCGTCTCTTGTGCCATCTACTAAAATTTATTCTCGTGTTACTCGTCATTCATTTAAGTGTTAGTTTCACATTAAAAAATGAGTCAATCATTTTTGAGGGAGATTGATGATACGTTGATTTTTTGAATTTGTCAGCAGAAGGAACATGAGTGTAAATTTGTTTTTTATTTTAGTCTGTTCTTTTGATAAATTTTCCTTCGCACCGTCAAGACACAATGTGCATTTAATGTGAAACTTGTGATTTTTTGAAACTTGACAGTAGTTTTGCCATTTCAGATAAGTTCCTCTCGGAATTTTTTTCATTTCAATATTTGAATCTGTTCAATATTTAAAATCATTAAAGTTGCAGTTGCTATACCAAATGTCATAAATTAAAATAATTTTTTTATAAATAAATTTAATAAACACTTGCTTTTTAGTTTAATACAGTTTTTTTTTTGTATGTATTTTAGGTGCTCCCAAAAGTCCTTACGATCTATATAAATTTAATATGTATATAGATCTTTTTATGCGACAAATCTCATTCAACATAATCAACATAACAACATTCAACATAACAACAATTTTTTAATACTTTTCAGTAATAAGATTACTGAAAAGTATTAAAAAATCTTCAAAACTAGCGCTTTTTATTTTTCACCTGTTTCTTTTGGAGAAATATATGAAAAACAGTTCCTCGTGAGAAAATTTATGCTGAGGATTCTAGTTTACTCAAAAACGTTTTGACTCTTCTCTCATTAAAAAAAAAGCTTGTTTTGAAGGTTTTCAATAATTTTCACTAATCTCGATTTTTATGTTTTCACATTTATTTTCTCGGTATTCCGACACCTAGATTCCGAGATGGGCCTAAAAAAATTTCTCTACTTACAGAGCCACCGCGCATCTTATTTTAAAACGAACTTTAATCAATTTTGTATTACCTTTCGGGTACCACACCTTTGAAATAAAATTGCCGAATTTTAACTCCAAACTACTCATTAATTTTCGTTTTTTTAAAAGTAACTTAAAAACCCTAGTTTTTTCATTAGATGACGCATTATGTTATTATTAATAATATGAATTAATAACTTTGCCTTTTCTTATTTACATTTGTAAAATATTTACTCTTACTTATTTTGTTGATTTTATACTCTTTACTTAACATATTATTATTTTTTGGTACGTATACGTTTATATAAAATATTGGTGATTAGATCCGCGCGATCTCTCTTTGGATTATATAATATATACTTAGGAAATTTTGTAGAAATTTAATACTGTTGTTCCTCTTTTTAATTCTTGTTTGAACTTATTTAGGGTTCTGACAACAAGATCCTTTGATCTTCTTTCAGATACCTTGTTTTATATTTGTAAAAGTTTATTAATATTATCATTATTATCATTATTTTTGGCAATATATAATTGTAATACGACCAACAAATGTAAAATAAAAAACAAAAAATAAAAAATAAAAGGTCACAGAAAAAAAACAAAAAAGACTAGTTGTTAAAATCAAGAAATTTCAGAAAAACTATTGATAATGGCGTAGTGCTTGTGTTTTTTTTATTTTTTTATAGCTTGTGTCAGAAAAACAAAATAAAAAACAATACTCTCTTCACTCTTAGTTATTTGGCCCAAGAAGACTATATTTAAAATTTTAGAACTGTGTGACAAATCTATTAGGATTACGTTGATGCTGCTTTTAAACAAACTTTTCTAAAAAAAAAGAAAATTTTATATCTTATCATAAAAAAAATTTCTTTGTTTTTTTTGAATATGATAAAATTTATGAAGTATTTACAATAAATTGAAGTCTTTTCATCTGCATATATCTGCATATTTCTTTATTGAAAGTACCACACAATTAGTCACATTTCAATTCATTATTACTGCCTCATTCTCTGCCCAATTAAATTTTACATTGTATAAATATAGACTAGTTTTATTTTTCCAGATAAATAAAATATTCACTTGAATTGAAAAAAAAAAAATCCAAAAAAAAATTTCTTCTGAAATACTCTATCAGTGGTCTACCAGATAGAGAGCTTCTAACCATTGAAAACAGTTTTAGGTTTTTATTGTATAAAAAACATATTAATATTAAGGTTTAAAAACTTAACTAATTTCGTTCCCTTTAATTTCAATTTATGTATACATAAATTGAAATTAAAGGGAACGAAATTAGTTAAGTTTTTAAACTTAATATTAATATGTTTTTTATACAATAAAAACCTAAAACTGTTTTCAATGGTTAGAAGCTCTCTATCTGGTAGACCACTGATAGAGTATTTCAGAAGAAATTTTTTTTTGGATTTTTTTTTTTACATGTAACTCAAGATTAAATTTAAACTCTTGAAATTTTTTTATGTATGGAATTCTACTTAGGTACTACTGATATCTGAAATAAAATAAAAGGGTGACTTTAATCGAAATGAAATCATAAATAAGTTTAAAGGAAAAAGATTAATTTTGCACATTGACACTAAACTTGTGAAGCAAATTTGTGCAGATCTATCATTTGTAACATCTCTGTTACAAATGATAGACTGATATATACTCTAGATAATTCGGATCGGGAAGATAATTTAAGACCAGGAAGATAAGAACTTCAGATTCCCGCAGCTTGGTGCGATGCAAGAGGCAAGATTCATGACTGATACAATATCTTAATAATTCAGATAATTAAAGTTAGATAAATTAATTACAGTGGGCAAGGAGGAAAGGTTTAACGATACTAACTTCCTCATAACTGTTATGTATGTTCCCATGGTTCCTAAAAATTAGAATAACAGCTTCTGCTCCAAGATTTGAACTGTTGGCACTAAAAGACTTTGATAAGCTGAACTTTTTTTTTGCTCTAGGAAGTATATTTTGAAAAAAATATAATAAAAAACTTAAGACGTCACACATGGTATTTAGATGAAACAATAGTTGTTTTTGCATTAGCAGACCAAGATTGATATTGCAAATGATAAAAAATTTGCTTATCATTATTCACCCAGAGATTACATCAGTATCATTCAGACGCGGTTCCCTCACAAAAGGTCTTAATTTGGACAGTAATCAGTTGGTTTGGAAAGCTGAATCCTTTTTGAAAGCGTTAGTGTTTTTGAGGAAGATGTTAATCAATGGGTTAAGGGAAATTCTGGCTGCTGGAATGATTTGGAGTGTTACAGAAAGCTTGCTCAGTTCGTAAAAAAAAAAATTAAAAAAAAAAAAAAATGCAAGTAACGAACGTACAAGAAATCTTCAATGAAGATTTCTTTGTAAGTAAATCTGAAGACTAAAGGCAAAAAAATGGTTGCGAAGTGAGGGACTTAATAAACAAAATGAAGTTTGTTTATTAAGTCCCTCACTTAATAAATAAACTTATCTATTTAATTTTACTGTCAGTTTATTATTATTATATTTTTAAGTTAGTTATTTTGATTGGTTATTTACCGAGTTATTTTGTAATAAATATATTGGTTCATTATGTAAACTTTTGTCTGTTATTATTTCTCTGTAAAAACTATATATATATATATATATATATATATATATATATATATATATATATATATATATATATATATATATATATATATATATATATATATATATATATATATATATATATATATATATATATATATATATATATATACCAATACCATAGTAAAACTAAATTTTCAGACTAGATTAACATTCACTTCTGAACGTGCTAGAGACTTTTCAAAGGTGTCCCTTTAATTAGAACATTGCATATAATAAAAAACACACTCTGTTATTCAAGCTGCAGAATTTTTTATTTTATTTAGCTGCACAGTGTAATTAGAATAAATCAAAATAACGTAAAAAAAAACAAAAAAAAATAATTCTTTTTATGTAAATATGTTAGTTTTTTAAAAAGTTTAAATTTAAATGCATTTTTGAGATAACGTATTTAAATGCGTATTTAAAGCAAATGATAATTTTTGAAACATATGACAATATTTTTTGAGATATATAATAATAAATTTTTTTTCAAATAAACTTCATAAATTTAACTCGACTTCTTTAAAAAGTACATATACATGACCTTTAAAGATTAAAAAAGATTTATTATTTATTATCTTATAATTTTTCCTTTCTATAAAAAATACATTTATATGACCTTTAAAGATTAACAAAGATTTATAAAGAATAGACTTATAACTAAAATTTCTTTTTTGAAAAATATAACTAAAAATTCTTTTTTAAAAAAAAAAAAAGTTGACCATTAACAGAATTTAACTTCGTCATAGATCTAATTCTCAACTTGGTACGCAAAACGAAGGAACATTACGATGTCCTTAATCTTTATTTTGTTTCCTTTACCACCTAGAAACATCGTTGATAACGGTAACACTAGAAAAGATGTCATCGTAGACACGGTGAAGTCATAGCAGACACGAAGACACATCATAATGATGATCTACAAATTAAGAAACTTTATTGGATAGATTTTTGATTTCTTTTTCTTTTAATCATTTCTTTTACATCGTATTCATCGTGGCGTAACATCCAGTGACCATTCATAACCAGTAATATTGTCATTCTTTCGGTGTAACGTAGATTTGGAAGAAGCTAAAAATACATTTTTGAACGTTTAGATTTTAAGCAGTAAATAAAACTCGAAACTTATGTTAATTAAAAGTGTGTGTGTGTGTATGTGTGTGTGTGTGTGTGTGTGTGTGTGTGTGTGTGTGTGTGTGTGTGTGTGTGTGTGTGTGTGTGTGTGTGTGTCTATATATATATATATACATATATATATATATATATATATATATATATATATATATATATATATATATATATATATATATATATATATATATATATATATATATATATTTTTTTTTTTTTTTTTTAATTTTTTATTTTTAATAAAGTAAAACGTTTTTAATAATGAATGTTTGAATAAAGAAGACCTTGGGTGTAATAAGAAAATATTGCGAAGTATTTGGTCGACACACTGTTTCAACAACCAGTTCAAACACACGGCGTTCATTGTTTGGATCCATACCCTAAAAAACATGCTTTTTGGATGATCTATACTTTTAAGATTACAATTTATCTAAATTTGAAAATCATGCATAAACAAATCAATTTTCTGAAACACGATTCTGTTCGAAATTCTTACTTTAATAAGTTACAGGATTTATGTTTTTTTTATTAAACATTATAAAAGTGCTTTGAATTTTATTTGTTGTTACACATTTAAAAAGATAAAAACTACTTATTTAAAGAGAATAGAACAAAATTAGCAATTACTAAAAAAACAATTTAAAAAATTGAAGATAAAAAGTAAATTGTTTACAAAAAAAATATCATTCTAACCTGATTGAAATAAACTATTTAATAACAAACAAAAAAAAATTATAATTTTCAATCAACCTGGTTGATTTCATCTACTAATCGAAATGGGCATTTCGTCAGTTCTTGTAATGATATCAAGTAGAGCATTGTAGACACACTTCTTTCCCCCCCTGATTGAAATGTTGATGTCAGAGTCTTTAACTTATTTTCTGCACGAAACTTAACTTGTATCTGAACACCATATTTACGGTAGTCTTCGTCCTAAACGGGAAAAATTTCAAACATTGCTACAAAAAATGTGTGATTTCTATTTAACTAAAAATAATAAATAAATAAAAATAAAGTGAAAAATAATCTTCCTTTACTTTACGAAACCCTTAACAAAGTCCCTAACCAAAAACCTTTAAATGAAGTATTTAAAAATAGAATTAAAGATTTATTTTAATTAACATGTCTACACCTTGAATTAACATGTCTACACCTTGAATTAACATGTCTACACCTTAAATTTGCTATGAAAGTATAATACAAGCATGATTAAGCAATAAATAATATTGCATAGCCTCAACAATAAAGTGCAAACCAAATTAAGTATTCCAGTTTTAATTAAACCTGCTCACAACTAGGGCGAAAAAAAAAAAAAATTAGCATCACTATCACTTTTTTAACAATCGCATTTTTCTAAATGAAACAATGGCCACAAACAAAAAGACATAAAAACAAGAGCTATATCTAACATTTTATATCTCTGGCAAACGCCTGAGATATAAAATGTTATGGCTAAATATATAAAAAAACCAGGTACAAATAAACAATATCAAAAAAAATCTCACTGGATCTTTTTCTAATGAAACTTGTCCAACACATCCCATTTGTTTAAAAAATAAACTGTACTGTTCGTTAATTCGCAATATTAGCTGCTCTAGAGGGACCAACCAACTAGGAACAGGAAAAAAGTATTAATCCAAAAAAATAAAATGCAATCTCTTGAAAATATGTATCACGATTTTATTTAATAATTTTGTGACACATCACAATTTCAATTAAAAAAAACAACTATAGAAAACTTATAAAAATTTAAAATTCTTTTAAAACTGATAAATAAAAATTAAAAACAAATTTAATATATATAGCATTAATTTTTTAAATAAACAAACAATATGAACCTTTGAAGAAGTGAATCTTTCTTCAATAACATATCTGCTAGTAGTTCCGATGTTTTTTTTATCTGTAATTTGAATAAAAGTTATAAATCGTGAACCATGATATATAAACTTGGTAAACTAATTTTAAAAATATTTAAAATATTTGTCATAATAGGACAGATCATGGCGATTTTGCCACTTTTAACAACTCAAGAAAAAAGTGTTATTTTGGCGATAACATGATAGATGATGTAAAATAGTTATTATTTTAAAATTGTAACCTTATAACTGTTGATTGATCATAGTTGCAGCCTAATTTGATAGGTTGTTGTAAACTTTAAATGTGATTTGCTGTTTAACGTTATTAATTGAAATTATAGTGTTGCATTAGCTCTAAGTTGCATTATTATTAATTTTATGAAGTTGATTGAAACTTCATTTGAGAATAATTGCTAAGGTGAGAGTTTCCTTAATTTGTTAAAACAAATTTTTTGGGGTTCATGGTATATATTTTAAATAGGTTTTTGTCCAAGAATATTGTGGGGTGATTTTGCCACAGAATGATGAAATAGTCCCACAGTATTTTATGTACAATACTTTTGTTTTCAAAACAATATTTAATAATAATATTTGTTATTATATAAACAATTTTGTTAAATCATTGGACACATATAAGGGATTAGAGTATGAGAAATTTATTAAAAGTGTTTTGAAGATACAATAAATCAGTAGTTTTTAGATTTAAAACTAAAGTACTTATTAAAGTATAATTTAACTTAAAAAAAGTTTTTTTAAAATCTCCTAAAATTTTGTATTCGAATGTTGTTTGTTCCAATTAAATGCATTTCTTATATATGCATTTCTTATCATAAAATGCTTACCATCGCAGACTGTTTAAAACCACAATATTGATTAGCATGTTTAAAATACATCATTAAAAAATGAAAGCATTGGTATTTAAAAAGATAGTCATTATGTCAATCTGTAATAATTGTCTTGTTGCATTTTTACCTTAAGTGCCAAAATCTAAAACACGCTTTATACTACCTATGTTTCAGATGGTACCCAAGTATCTCCTAAAGAAAAAGAAACCATATAGTGATACCAACCTCCAATTGGCTATTTACGCAGTTAAAGATGATGGTAATATATTAATGACAGCAAAAATATTTGGAGTGCTAAGATCAACACTGAAAGATAAGATAAATGGTTGTCAACAATCAAGCAATGTGGGAGAAAAAACAGTAACACTGTAAAAGAACACAAATATGAAAAGGGGAGTCATTCAGAGATAAAATCAGTTTTCAGTAAGGAGATACAAATTTCCTTTTACTAAGAATATTGTTCCTTCTTCGAAGTAGATTTTAACCCAACTCACTCAAAACCTTATTTTGCACACATTGCATGCATTAAAAACATTGAAATGTTGAAAAAAAAAAAAGAGAAAAGAAAGAAAATTAAAGGATATAAAATCTCTGGATGTATTTTCTCATCCTAGTGACTTGAAGAAGAAAAAGTTCTCTATTAAAAAAAAGCAATTGGCTCAAAGACAAGGAAGTTTTTGTCCGACCAAATAAAAGCAAGTGGTTCAAAGAAGAGGAAATCCCATAGTTTGAAATAATTATTATATCAAATGCCACAGAGTACATCAAAAGCTTATAACAGAAACAGCAATAAAATAACTCATTTCTATGAGCACAGTTTGGCATGGGTGAATTCATCAGAAGACTGGCTCCTATACATTTTTTGTCTTGGATGGGCATGTAAAGTGTGTTTTTGCATCAACATGTGCACAGAATGCACAGTGGTTTATTTTGCACTTTTTGTGGACATTTGACTACACTTAGGAAAAATCTCTTTGTGCGACATGGAAAAACAAAATATGGTCATGATATATGTTTTTAGCTTAATTTTTGAAGTTCCATCATTAAATAATACTCCTGAGGGCATACCATAACTCTAGGACACCAAAATAACACATTGCAAAATACCCTAAAAAAATTCAGTAATAACATTTTTTCAGATAGGTATACATAGTCAAAATTCATGTTTAAGGGTAACCTTTTAAGCTTTATCCATTAAAAATACTTTTATGTTCATCACCATGATTGCACTATAGACTCTAGGACACCTAAAGGGCACTTCAAAGCATGGGTTACAAGATATAAATACATGTTTTTACATCAGTTGGATAAAAAAATATTCTGCTAAAAATATTCACAAAATCATAAAATATATAAAGGACACAAAGAACACACACTGAAAAACATAAAAAAAGACACTAAAAAGGAAAGTCATTAACTTTTCTAAAATAATTATATAGCCGCAATATGTTTTTGAAGTATATTTTTAAGCTTCATGAATTAAAAAAATCATATAATAACTGTAGGACACCAAAATGTTTGATTTAATTAGTTATTGTCTATTAAAATAAAGTTAATATATGATGTTACATGTGTTTTTAATTGCCATACATCTAAAGTGATAAATCTAGGGCCCCATAAAATTTTTAAATAAATGAACCATTTTTTCTATTATATCTCAAATTTTAAAAGTTCGATGATCTTGTTGTGGTTTTAAATACGAAGATTTGAAGACTAAAAACTTTTAAATTAAAAGCAGTTTAAGTAGTTAAGCAGTTAAGTCCGCCATCAGCAAACTAATTGTGGCAATTGAACCCATCGGAGAAATTCCAATCTCACAATTAGGAAACAATAAGATACCAGGCAATTATTACAAAACAATTTATTTCTACCATCAAAATTCATATTTTTATTTGTATGATCATTTAAACTTATATAAATAGAGTAAATACTTTTATTATAACATTATTTTGAAACAAGAAAGTAAAATTAATTATAAACAATTAAAAGCACAGTAAAATATTTAAAAAAGAAAAATAATAATAACAAAAACAATAAAATATGGCAACACTTGAAGAATATTGCTTAACAGAGCATCAATTATTTACTTTAATAATTGACAACAATGTCTCTCATGTATCTGATTTGACTACCATAATAGAAAATGAAACGCAAGCTAGGTTAGGAGAAAATGAAGTTGGAATACTAAAAAATATTTTGCGAAAATTTCAACATTTGAAAGAAAGAAAATTTCAAAAGTTAAAATAAGAAAAAGACGCTTTTTTAAAATATGGATCAAAAGAAGTCATTATAAGAATAAGTTCAAAGACTAAAGAAAGTAGCTCAGTCTTTAAACCTGCTGATAAGAATGATGAAGAAACCAGTCTGTATAGGATGATAAAACATTGGTCAGCCCTATCAAGGAAACATCAGTTAAGAAGATCACAAAAGCTATGGGAAAATGTGCAGGTATTATAATTAGTTGCATATAATATATAAATATATATATATATATATATATATATATATATATATATATATATATATATATATATATATATATATATATGTATATATATATATATGTATATATATATATATATATATATATATATATATATATATATATATATATATATATATATATATATATATATACATATATATATACATGGCGGCAGGTGCCTTAACTTGGAAAGAATCTAAGTTAAACAATAACACAACATTGCTGAAAGAAGAAAAAGCAAGACTACAAGAAATTATCCGAGTTAAAACAGAAATAAAATGGGATTTTGCAGAATCAACCGGACAAAAGGGCAATACAACAACTGGAAATGTTGCCAGAAAACTTTTACATAATAATGCAATGCGAAAGGTTATTACAGATCACATATCAAGTCAAACTGACCGTAAACTAGTTGAAAAGTATGGCTTGCTTCTTTCCACTATTCTGAGAGCAATGTCATCTGGTAAAAAAACTAATATTGAGCTATACAAACAAATGTGTCAGGAGCTAAATATCTTGCTTCTACAAGAATTTTATTGTGTAAGTATAACTTCAACGCTGCACAAAATTCTTGCTCATAGCTGGAAGTTGATAGAAATAAATGATTCCACCGGTTTAAAATCTTGGAGTGAAGAAGGAATGGAAGCTAATAATAAGCGTCTCAGATACTTCAGGGAAAAACTATCAAGAAAAATTAATCAATTGGTCAATATAGAAGATTGCTTTAAAAGACTTTGGCTGGGGTCTGACCCATTAGTTGCAGAAGAACGGAGTAAAGGACTGTTATTTTGCAAAAACTGCTTGGATAGAGGCTATTCTAAACGCTCATGTATGCGCAGAAGTGCATCAGCTGATGATATTTCAAACAATCTTTTTGTTTGTAAATAAATTAATTTTGTAACATGTGTATTTGTTAATTTTTCAAAACCAAGTTCTTAGACTTTAACCTTAAGATGGCAATTTTAAAACTCATTTTTTTTAAAAACCGCTAATGGGGGCAACTTAAGCATAGCAGCAAATGAAAGCTTTTATTTTGTATTTCGGAAATCATATAAGGTTTAGTGTGGCCCCATTATCGGTTTTTGAGATATTCACCGAAATGTTCAAAAACTATAACAAAATCATGTGCAAAAATTCACAGTTTTTATATACATTTTATGAAAATTATCCAATTTTCTTTCTGAAATACTATTATTATTAGCCAGAAAAATATTTTTTTATGTAGGCTCTTTATCCCTTATTGCTAAATAATAATTTTCCAAGTTTTAGATCAATAATCTTTTTTTTTCATCACTTTTTTCCAAGTGATCAAAAAACTCTGTTGGGTTTTAAAGTGTGTTTTTTCTTCTAAATTGTTCAAGTTTGCATGGCCATAACTTTTTATATAGACAAAAATTTTAATTTCAAAAAATTAAATTTTTTATTTACATGCAAATGCAAACTTGAACAATTTAGAAGAAAAAAATGTTTTTTGTTTGAGTCCAAAAACTTAAATGAGTTTAAAAGATCATAAATAAAATAGATATACTAATTAAAAATAAAATAACATATGTTTATGTAAAAAATCAACCTTTAAAACAAGAATAAACCTAATGAAAATCTAACTTAATATTAAAAAATTGATTAAAAAAAACTATCTATTAAGTAAACGTCTATTGTGAATCCTAAAGTAAAATTAACTAAAAGTAAAATAAAAACAAACATCAAATAGTAACAAACCTCTGTATCAAGAGTATTTATTTCTTTTTTGTTTTTCTCATAGTCCAAAACAACCTAAAAAAAGTTTCTTTTTAAAAACATAAAAAAAAAAGTTTACAACCTTTTTTTAAAATGTTTTTCTCATGGTTCAAAACAACCAAAAAAAAATAAACACATTTTGCACAACCTTTATTTTTTTTTCCCTCATATTAAAGTAGTTTCTGATATTCTAAGAAATAAAACCTTTTTAATGATAACAAACAAATACTTTTGAATTTTTTATATTTTCTTTTTGACCATAAATTTGCTGAATTGTTACACATTTTAACAACAACAAGCATTATTTCTTTAACACCAAAAATATGCTTTATTTAAAATTTTCCTTAACAGTATCAGGTGTGGTTACTTTTTTAGCAATTTACTTTTTAAACTATTTATTTATTATTGCTTATTTCTTTAACAATGCCAGAAATGCCTATTTTTTAAACTTTACCAAACTTGCTTGTTCAGACAAATCTAAGTTGTTTAGGTTGAAAAAGTTGATTACTTCAAAAATTTTTAAAATGTTAAAATATTTAGGACTAACATACAGACAGGTTACAAAAAGAACAAATTACGTGGTGAGAAAATCGATTTTAAAAAGAGGTTGAGGCAGGTTTTTCCTTTTAGAATCAAAGTTAATTGATAGATTTCAAATTTCAATAAAACTTATATCGGCATTCAGAAAATACAACCATTTAAAGAAACACTGTGCAAAGTTTTAACAAATCAAAAAAAAAAAAAAATTTCTGTTTAAAATTGGTTTATAATAATGCTAAACTTAATAGTAGAAGTGGCCTTTTGAGTGTTTGACACAGAACTTTTGACGGCCATTGCAACCAAAGTAACGACGAGAAAGAGTTGCAGCACTTTTTTTATGAAAAAATATAAACGAAAGTGTGTGCAAATTTCTAACTAATTTAAACCTCAAATAACATAATGTTAAAACACATATCAAGTTTTATAGTTTCACTTTTACTTGAAAACTGCACTGCAGAATAATCTCCTTAATTTTGATTTATAGAATTTCATGGTTGTTTTATAAAGTCTTTTACTTATTAATAGTATCAAAAATTGATAAAACAATATGCCTTAGTGGAAGTGGTTAGCTCGCAGCATTTCTGAAGTAGATTGTTGTGGTTCAAAGTGGATTGTTGTGGTTCTGAAGTGGATTGTTGTGGTTCACATAAACATTTTTTTTAAATCTTTTTTGATTTTTTACATTAAAAAACATTTTTGTTTTGTATTAAAAAAAATCAAAAAAGGTTATATTTATATACAAAATTGTTATTAACAATTTTGTATAGTTTTAATTAATATAGTTATTTATGTTTTAATTTTATACACCATTTCAATTGGTTGAAAAAAAAAATGAAACTAAACACCTCATTTAATTGTTTACTTTAATTTAATTAAATAAAATAAAAGACACCATTATCTATATACATGTTAAAAATATTTGATCATTTGATAGAAGAAATTAAAAAAATATTTGATCATTAAAAAAATATTCTTATCATTAAATCTTTATCTTTCTTAGTTTAATTTCTTTTTTTGTGCAAGTATCAAAGGTTTTAATAATTTCTGTAACATAATGATAAAACCCTATAATTTGCTACTAATATTGCATATTTGCTACCGAAAAAGTATTTGATAGTAAATAAAAAAATATTTGATATATTATGGATATAAATAACATAAACAAAGGTTACTATCGTATAGGTACTAACTTATGTGTAAAATACTAAATTATAATAAATTATAATATTAAAGCATACCAGTGGATTAGTCTCATATTGACAATCTAGTTTTGCTTGTTGCTCATGTATCAAAGCTTCAATTTCTTCAAGAGTATTTGGAAGATTGTTAAATGCCTAAATAAAAGATTTTTGTCTTAAAAATTTCACTTTTACAATAAAATTTAAATAGATATTTTTACAATACAAGGAAAAAATAAAAACCTAATGTTATTATGACTAAATATAATAAAATAAAATTAGTTAGATAAATTTGAACCTCTTTTAAATGTTCCATTGTTTCACCAGTTATCTGTTGGGCTCGTTTAAGTAAGATTTTAGCTTGTTTTTTCATATTGTTACATCTTTCTGAAACCATATGATAAGCTTCCTGTAAAAATATTTTAATCATTTTTTAAATTAAGAAAAAAATTTAACCATTTTATATTCATTAAAAAAAAAAATTTTGTAATTACTTAAGAAAACTTTAAAACCTTTTAAAAAAGATTACAAAGCATCAAATTTTAAAATAAATATTTATAGAACTCCCCCCTCCCTTTTCTTTATAACAAAAAAAATATAACAAAAAACCTTTAACATAGTTGATAAAATATATTGGATAACATAACAAAATAAATTATTAAATGTGTTGAGGGCTGTGGAGTCAGAGTCGGAGTTGCAACAATTTTAGCGGAGTCGGAGCCGCTTAAAAATATCGCTACTCCGATTCTGATAGTAAAATTTCTTGGTATTGCACGTGCATGTACAAAACATTCAATTAACCTTATGTTCATACTAAACCTCGAAGAAAGTTTCATAAAAAAATTTCAACTTATCGCGCAATAATTTTTAAAGAATTCAAAGAATTTTTCAAAAATTTTGCTTTGGAGTTGGAGTAGGAGTTGTACTCAAAAAATTTCAACTGGAGTCGAAGTCATTACTTTTTTTTTAAGACTCCACACCCCTGGTTGAAAAGTTAATAAAAATGTTGCATAAAAATAAAATAATTTATTGAATGTCTTGAATGCGAATGAATATGTCGTAAAACTAAAAATGTGTGAACAAATTACAATTATGTATATTCATATCATTTAATCTTTCTTTGTAGATTTTATAACAACTGACACTTGAGAAACATCCCCAAAATGTTAGCAAGCCACCATTATTTAAAATAAACCTCTGTTAATGTTACAGCAAATATTTACATTACTGACATTTTTTTTTCTGTTGAAGATTTGACGAAGTTTATAACAAAATACAACTATGAAACAAAAATACCAAATGTAACCTATGCTGATTAACAAAAATAATAAATCAGTGATTAATTAAAATGCTCATTTTTTGGTGCGGTGTCTGCTTTTTGGTGCCCACTTCTGAGATTGTCAATTACGCTTCAAATTTTGGTTTTTGTACAACAATTATAAAAATCAGAGATATTTAAGCCACAAAATATGTTCATTTAAAATAACACGAGAAAGGCCTTTTTTTATCCATTTTTTTATTTCATCTATTATTCAAGTTTGATGCATATTTTTGATGGCTTCGATAAATTAAGTCAACAAATAATTGCAAAAGGTAGACTTATATTGCAGAAAATGATAAAATAAAAATTCATAATAAAAGTATAATAAAATAAGAATTCATAATAAAGATATAGTAAAATAAGAAATCATAATAAAGGTACAATAAAAAAAGAAGCTATAATAAAGGTAAAACAAAATAAGAAGTCATAATAAAGGTATAATAAAATAAGTAGTCACAATAAAGGTTTAATAAAATAAGAATTCATAATAAAGGTATAATAAAATAAGAAGGCATAATAAAATAATAAAATAAGTCCTGATAAAAGAGAACAAAAACACAATTATCATTATTCACTAGTTTATATTATCTAATTCTTTTTTATTATTATTTTCAAATAAATAGCAAACAAGTAAAAAAAAAAAAAAAATGGCAACAAACTCTTTTTGTGTGTTTGATTAATATTAAAAAATAAATATAATAACAATGTATAAAACCAAATAAAAAAAATACATGTTATTTTTTACAAAAAATAAAACTTATGTAAATTGCAAAATTTACCTCAAGACTTTTAAGATTTTCGCTGAGAGTTCTAAATTGAGCTTGAACCTGTTCCATTAAAATCTTTTCTTGAGTTATTGTCATCGCTAATAATAATCTTTCTTTTGTGATCTTGATGCATTTCTTTATAGCAATAAAACATGTTAAAAACTTAAATACCAGAGATCCAGCAGATTTGCTTATTAAGAATATGATTGATATGAGGTAAAACATGCATACAAACACTTACAATATATAAACATGCATATAAATACGTATATGATTTGTATGAGGTAAAACATGCATACAAACACTTATATGATTTATATGAGGTGATACATGCATATAAACACGTATATAATTTATATGAGGTAAAACAAGCATATAAACACTTACAACATATAAACATGCATATAAGCACTTACAACATAAAAACATGCATATAAACACTTATTTGATTTATATGAGGTGAAACATGCATATAAACACGTATATGATTTATATGAGGTAAAACATGCATATAAACACTTACAACATATAAACATGCATATAAACACTTACAACATATAAACATGCATATAAACACTTATATGATTTATATGAGGTGAAACATGCATAAAAACACTTATATGATTTGTATGAGGTGAAGCATGCATATAAACACTTGCAAAAAATAAACACAACAAATAATAATAAATAATAGCACTGACAATGATGAATTAAATATCTTGGTGCAAAAACATTGTAACTTCATTTTAAAAAATTGTTTAAAGGAATAAAGTAGATGATTGATCTTTTAAATAAATAAAAAAATCAATGACATCATTTACTACAACTAATAAGAATAAAATACGCTTGAATAAATTATCAAGTCATAAATTGAGACATATTATGAAGACTATTTAGTCTACAACAAAACAGAGAAGGCAAGCTTTGACTAAAACAAAAAAGTTTGTTTTTCTTGGTATGCATTTATTTTTTTGTTTTAGTCAAAAAATTTAGCTTCTTGATATAGTTAAGGCAATTTTAAAATACTATAGCGTCTGTATGATACTTAGTTGACTATGACATATTTTCACTAAATGATCAGGTCTGTGAATTATGAAAAGACGAAAAAAATTAAAATGGTAATTTGCAGTATCATAAAATAGGAATGTTTGTAGCAACAAAATTTAAAAGACCAGACCAGACCAAAAATTATTTCAATCTGGGCTTTTAAATCACAATCACTTGTCCAAATTTGAATAAGATTTTATATAAATATGTTAAATTATATTTATAATGTTAAATGATATTAAAAAATTAATTTTAGTTTGTGAAGCTATCCTTAGAATGTGAAACATTTTCTTATGCACATTTTTTTAGACAACCACTTTATCATGCATAAGAAAATAAGAGTTTTTAGAACTGGCTTCATATATACAAAAACTATATTTCAAAAGCCATTTGAGAATAAGGTTATACATATCAAGTGAGACATTTATCAAGGGAGGAAGGGGCATGTTTTGCTGATATTTAAATGTTAGCAACTTTGTTTTATTATTAATTGTCCTTACTTCTGTAATGTTTGCATTTTTGTGTCAAAGTAGCTGGTTTCTTTTTGATTCTTAAAATACTTCTGTGCATTTTTTTTAAAACCTTTTTTTTTAGATTCACTTTCAAAACTTCTACTTTCTACTTCAGGATGGAAACCTTGGCACTTACATTAAAGATTTACATTAATTATTTACATAACATTAATTATTGACAGTAGACAAAAGGTTTTGTGGGAAAAATCTGGGTTATTAACTAAATTGTAAAATATACTGCTGTCACTTGCTAGTGACAGCAGTATATTTAATAATTAGCCATAATATTTCTTGTATTAAAAAAGTCCTTTAGGTTGTTGTTGACAGTTATAATATTATACTATATTAATATTACACAGTATATGACAGCATAGACATATTTATGGGGGAGGAGGGGCAGAGGGGGCTTTGGCCCCAGGCGCCAAATTTTGATAGGGTGCCAGTCATCAATTTTATGTCATTTTCACATAAATTTTTTTATTATTATGTCAAAATCATATTTAGACTGTAGACATAAGTTTTTTGAGACAGAATTTCCAACTGTTTGTTTTCTATCTACAAGTATACGTACACATATTTTTTAAAAACGAGAATATCACCATTGGAAATTCATCTTTAATAAAATTGTAAATGTGTATGGTTGGTAGAAGGAAGTATCATTCAAAAGGTGATCAAAATCATTCAAAATTATTCAAAAGGTGATCACTTGCAAATTATACATAACTATGCCCAAATTATTCGCGCAAATACATTGATTTAGTGAAAAAAAGTCACTTTGCTCAGTTTGACCCTTTTTTAGAGGATTCACTTTTAGAGAACCGATTAATATATATGAGCAGTTCATAGGTATAATGGCAGATAATTTTACACAATAAATGGTAAAAGAAATGAAGAATACTAAATATTTTTCCATCATTGATTCTACTTCTGATATTAGCCGTGTAGATTAACTGTGTTCATTTTTCAGTATGTTCAAAAGAATGGCTGTCCGGTAGGATTTTTACCCAAACTCTGGTCATAAATCTGAAGAATTAGCAGATGCTATATTTTTAGTTTTAGAATTACATGGATTTGACATAAACAATAACCGTGGTTATGATTACAACGTGTCTAACATGTCTGGTAGATATACAGGACTTCAAGCTCGCATTAAAGAAGTTAATCCTTTAGAAGAAATCCTTTAGAAGAAATCCTTTAAAAGAAGTTAATCCTACATTTGTACCATGCTTGGCACACTCTTTAAATCTTGTGGACTGTTTTAGAAATGGCTCAGAATTTTTTATTTTGCTTTAAAATATCTATAACTTTTTCAGTACTTTTACATATTGATAAGAAATACTTCAGAACAACTTAATAAAAACAGAAAATGTATCACTTAAAAACTATAAGATACAATGTGGTCAGCCAGATCTCATGCAAAAATTAGTTTAAACAAAAATTGAAATGAAATAGATAATGGGCTGTCTTTTATCAAAGATGATATATCACAAAAGTCAATCACAAGATCAGAAGCTAATGGACTATTTTGAAACAATAATAATGACCACATTAGGAGGTGATATACTAGAAAGATTTAACAAAAATAGTAAAAAATTGTCAGTTAAGATTGATTTAGAAACAGTTGCAAGTTTATACAAATCGTTAATTCGACATGTATTAGATTTGAGGAGTGTGATTGATATCTATGAAGAGAGAGAGAGCAATTAAAAAATCGCAACACAAAACACATCGAAATATATGCAAATAAAAGAGAAAATGCAGATAAAAAAAAGGAGAAATAAATTTTGAAATTCTAGACTCTTTAAGGATTAATACATATTATGTTATTATTGATAAACTACATTCTAAACTAGAAAGAAAAATATTGTGCTATAATGAAGTAAGAATTAAACTGAAAACATAAGACCTAAAACTGTAATATGTATTTAATATTGTATAATAACAAAATTGTAAAATTGAATCTGCACTTACCATGAATATGAACTTTAATGACATAAATTTGCAAAACAAAATTCACGTAGAAAATTATGTTTTTTTTAATGTTAAGTGAGTTTAATTTAATATATATGTTTGTATTGAAATTACCATTGTTTTTTTAATAATAATCCCATATCAAAGTATTCAGGTATTTGTAAAAAAGAGCGCTTAAAAAATTAGTGCCCTAGGCCACTAAAAATATAAATACATCTTTGTATAACGTCTATGTATGATAAACACTAAAAATATTTCAACAAACAATGTATAAGTAACCTTGAAACAAAACTTGAAAAAAAACTTGAAAACATGTTAAACAAACAAAATCAACCACTATTTAATCCAGAAAAAAAAAACAATGTAAAATAAAGGTAACTACAGAGTTACCTTATTTTTGCATCAATTGAATGTAGGGAATATGTGTTAAAACTTGCATTAAATGACATAAGGGAATCTAATTTATTTTTGAACAAAGTGGTAAAGCTCATCTTGGGCAGATGTTAAATGCATCCAGCAAAACATCCCCTGCCTTGGGGCTCTTGGTTGAGTAAAGGCTAGAGATGGTGTCTAGATAAAAATACTCATCTTGGGCAGATGTTAACTGCATCCAGCTACTGTCTTGTAGAAGGCCTCCTAGGCAAAGACTTTAGGGGTAACCAGAAAAATTCTGCTAACCAGCCTCGAACCCCTTCTTCATCTATTCATCTGTTAGGCTGGCGTAGATGTAACCTGTGTTACATTGTTTCCTGCCTAGGATGATGAATGCTGGATCTCCTTGACTCTACTCATAGAATTTTGCTTATGCCTCTTTGATAATGGCTATGCAACTCTTCCTGTTATCTCCATATGAGGGTACAGCTCTAAAACTCAGTTTAATGGTTCTGAGGCCGGCTGGTAGTAAGGTTTCCTGAACTCTGTGGTAGCTCTCAGAGAGGCTGATTCCATCAACAGCTGCAAAATATGAGAGTATTAACAGTGCCATGTTGCGCATGGATGGTGTCCCTGTTAATGCTTTTGGTGTGCATTGTCAAGGCCGCATAAGGAGCCCTATGTCACGGCTTAGGGTTAATTAACAGGACTGAGACAACTGCATAGCTCATTGATTAGGAGGCTGTGCTCTATCTATGAATGAGTCAAGTTCTCATTAAACCCAAATCATGACCAAAGTAACCAAAAATTTAAAACCTAAAAAACCATCCCCATCACCTAAATATTTTAATATATCTTTTACAAATATTCGCGGTCTACGAAGCAACTTTCCATCAGTTGAGTCTTACCTCCTGCAAAATTCACCAGACTTGCTTGCACTCAGTGAAACAAATTTAAGTTCTGCAATTTCTTCTTCAGATGTCAGTGTTGATGGGTATTATCCTTTGATTCGTAAAGACTCCAATAGTCACATGCTAGGTTTAGGGGTATACATACGCATTAATTCCCATATTTGTCGTGAAATCAGGTTTGAATCCTTTGACCATTCTTTTATGTGCTTTCGCCTAGCACCGCTTCACTCTATCACCTTTCTCTTTGTTCTTTATTGTTCTCCTTCTTCCCATGATTGCACTCTTTTAGATGTTATCTCTGATCAAATTGACCATGCCCTCTCTCTTTACCTCTCTGCCAATATTGTTGTTGTTGGTGATTTTAATGCCCATCACACTGAATGGCTTGGCTCTAACACCACTGATCCTGCTGGCACTAAAGTCTTTAACTTCTGCGTTTCTCAATCTCTTACTCAGATAGTTAACTTTGTGACTCGTTTTCCTGACAACCCTAATCATTTACCTTCACTCCTTGACTTATGCCTTGTCTCTGACCCTAGCTTATGTTCAGTTTCTCCCTTTTCTCCCTTAGGTGGTTCTGACCATGCAATGATCTCTATAAATCTTTCTTCTCGTACTTCTTTTTTGGGCTCACCTTATCATCGCACCACCTACTAATACCCTAAAGCTGACTGGGATTCCTTTCATGATTTTCTTCGTGATGGTCCTTGGGCTGATGTTTTTTCTCTCTCAGCTGACAAATGCGCCTCCTACGTAACCTCCTGGATTCAGGCTGGAATGGAAGCTTTTATTCCTTCGCGTCGGTTTCAAGTCAAGCCTCATTCTACTCCATGGTTTTCTCCTTCTTGTGCGGCTGCTATATCCAATCGTAATCATTTTTTTCATCTTTTTCAAAAGAACAATTCTCTTGAGAACAAACGGCTATTTATTATTGCAAGAAATCGATGTAAAAAGGTGCTTTCTGATGCTAAACTCCATTATTCTCAGTTCACTAAATCTCGCATCTTATCGCAGAAGTTAGGCTCTAAAGACTTTTGGAAAATCTTCAACAGCATTATTAACAAGGGTAGATCTAACATTCCATCTCTCATTCATGGGACTGATCTTATTACCTCTCCCAAGGATAAGAACAATTTGCAAAGAACTTTTCTTTTAACTCCACTCTTGAATTTTATGCACATTCTCTTCCTTCCATTCCAGTCAAATAGGTTGATCCATTGTTAGACATTCAAATCACTCCGGCTTCTGTTGCTAAAGTCATATCTCAATTAAACTCGTCTACAGCTTGTGGTCCAGACAACATTCCTGTCACAGTCTTGCAGAGTTGTTCTCCAGAACTTTCTTTAATTCTCTCTAAACTATTTAACAAGTGTTTGACTGAGTCTTGTTTTCCTGCTTGTTGGAAAATGGCATCTGTGGTTCCAATATTCAAAAACTCTGGAGAAAATTCTGACCCCTCCAATTATCGTCCGATCAGTCTTCTTTCTGTTATTAGCAAGGTCTTTGAGTCTTTGATCAACAAATTCCTCACATCTCATCTTGAGTCAAATAAACTACTGTCAGACAATCAATAAGGTTTTCGATCCTCTCGCTCTACGGCTGACTTGCTAACTGCTGTAACTGAAAGATTTTATCGTGCATTAGATGGAGGCGGTGAGGCTAGGGCTATTGCTCTCGACATATCTAAAGCTTTCGACAAAGTTTGGCATGCTGGTCTTCTCCATAAGCTTGCTTCATATGGTGTTTCTGGGAAAGTTTTTGAGATTATCAAATCATTTCTTTCTAACCGGTAAGTCATCCTTGAAGGCCAACACTCTTCTTTATTTCCAGTAACTTCTGGGGTTCCCCAAGGTTCCATCCTGGGCCCTGTTTTGTTTCTTATTTACATAAACGATCTTCCTGACAACCTTTCATCTAAAGTAGCTCTTTTTGCTGATGACTCAACTTTATACTCTTGTCTTGACAAAAAGTCTTCTCTTTTCGATCGCCTAGAACAAGCAGCTGATCTTGAATCCGATCTCACTAGATAGATAGATTGGGGTTCACAGTGGCTTGTGAATTTCAACTCTAACAAAACCCAGTTGTTTACTGCAAACAACTACCGTAGTGTGGTCAACATTCCTATATTAATGAATGGCGATCCTCTTACTGAGTCCTCCTCTTTACGTCTTCTTGAGTTATCGCTTACTACTGACCTTTCATGGAAACCATATATACAATTGATTGCTAAATTAGCTTCTGCTAAGGTTGCTTCTCTTTATCGTGCTCGCCATTTCCTTTCTTCTGATTCCATTCTCTACCTCTACAAATCTCTTATTCGTCCCTGTATGGAATACTGTTGTCATATTTGGGCTGGTTCTTCTAACGATTCACTTTCTCTTCTTGACAAGGTCCAAAAACGCATTGTAAATGTTGTTGGACCTGGACTATCTGCTAAGCTTGAACCTCTTTCCCATCGTCGTAAAGTTGCATCTCTTTCTCTTTTCTACAAATACTATCATGGTCAATGCTCAAAGGAGTTATCATCTCTAGTTCCATCAACTAAAATTCATTCTCGTTTTACTCGTCTTTCAGCTAAGTCTCATTCGTTTACTGTATCTGTCCCTGCATGCTCTAAAAACTTTTATTCATCTAGTTTTTTCCCCCGCACTTCAATCCTTTGGAACTCTCTCCCATCTTCATGCTCTCCTGTTTCATACAACTTTCAACTTTTCAAGTCTTCTGTCAACCGTTTCCTTGCTCTATAACTCTGTTCTTTTTTTCCTAGTAACTCCCAACTTAATAGTGGTTGCTTGCAGCCTTGTTGGGAGTGAACGCAAATTAAAAAAAAAAAAAGATTCTTTTATTTACTAGCATAAAATTTAAACCTGAAAATCAACCAAAAATGGAGTTATATTGATTTTGCACTAAGGTCTTCAATTGAAATTATAATGCAATTAAATTACTGATAATGAAAAAAACACATATTTGATGAAATCGTTATATCGAAAACCTTTTTACACAAGGAATTAAAAAAAAAAATATATATAAAAGTTTAAATACTGAAATCTGATCAACATATTGCTGAGATAATTCTAATCTTGTTTTATTTGTATGATTGATTTTAACTTTCATCTTATCAATTTGATTTTGAATGTTTGGACACCCTTTTTCTTCCTCCTGAAGTCTAAAATAAATTCAAATTTATAACAAAAAATTGTAACAAAAAACAAAATATACATAAATTTGAATGAAATGTTCTAAAAATTTGATTTTATTAACATTTTAAAAATTACCTGTTCTGCTTGCTCTCAATTTGAGACATAAGTGTTGATCTTTTTTTCATTTGACTAACAATTTCTTGCTAACAATAGAGATATAAGAATGGTTTTTTAAAACATTAATGAAAACATATTATTGAGAACACTTTAGATTCTTTTAACGTATGTATTAATCTTTTTCAAAATCAATAGTAATTATATGAAATCAATAGTAATTATATGAGAAAGAAATAACGAGAAACAAATGAAAAAAATAAAAAATTTAATCAAAAATTAGTCTAATTTTAAACGGATTACTGAAAAAAAATTATAAAGTTAATTAGAAAAAATTATATAAAAAAACTTTTTGTTGACGAGTCTCTTCAAGCTTTTTGTTTACAACTTCAATTTCTTTTTTTATTTGATTGTATTTTTCTGAACAAAGATCGTATTCCTTTTGATGCATCTACGCATATAAAATAAAGATATTTTTATAACCATTTAAAATATTGATAAAATTTGTAAATGATAATAAAAAATATCAAAAAACTTGAAAACGATAAAAATTTGATACTGATTAACTGTTATTAAAATTTAAAGTTTTTGATGAACAAACAAACCTGCAGCAATCCTTCTAAACGTTTTTTTTCATCAATGTCGACAGATTTGTTCAAATAATTGCGGTTTCTACTGTAAATAAAAAATCACAATGAAATAAAAAAAGTGAAAACTAAAGCTAAAGTAATTATATACAAGTATGTGTCAAACGCCTTAACTTATTAATTTATTTATTATTTTTGCAAATTTATTAATTTTTGATTACAATGTTTTTTTTTAAATATTGGTTTATGAAATTTGTGGTCCTAAACCAACAAAAATACTAACAATTTTGTCATAGATATTTATCATGGATAACCATGAAATAAAAAAACTAAAATATATTAAGCAGTTGCCTTATAAATATTTTAACTTACATAAACTTTTCTAAATATTCAACAAATAATGAAATTAGAGAATAATTAGTGTAATTAAGTCACAATACTGCTAACTAAATATTACAGTTAAAGAAACAATTTATCCACTCACAATTAGACAGATTATTTTAACCAATCACAATTAGTCAGATTATTTTAACCAATCACAACTAAAGTAATTATTTTATTCAAACACAAGTAGTGCGATTATTTTAACCACTCAATTATTTCCCTTGCAATGAAGGGCTAATAAAAGGCTACAGTTTTAAACAGTTTAAAACAAAAACAACTCAAAAGGTTGCTGTAAAGAAATTATAATGTTAAGATCTGTTTTAAGTCGAAAAATTGAAAAAAATGCTTCCAAAAACTATTTAAAATTTTAAACAATAAAAACTAGAAATAATGTTTTATAAAAATAAATAAAGTAGCTAACCAGTGTGATTGTGTTCAGCCCACCACACTACTTATATGTACCTTTATATATTGCTCAATCAAAACATTTTTTCTGTAAAAATATTTTTAAATAAAAACTAAAAAAATCATACTTTAATGAACTAACATTTGAACTTGTTTTTCCAGAATATTTTGATACACTCATTCTATACTAAAATAATGACAATTCTTTGATTAATAAAAAAAACTAAAACTACATATAGTATAACATAACATAAAAATTATTATCACATATGATATAACATAACAACTTTCAACACACCAATAACAATCATATAACATAATTTACAAAATAATAACATTATTAAGACAACATATTATAATAATTTAGAGCATGTTTCTAAAACAATCAAAAGATTACAAAAAAATGAAAATTTTTTAATAATCTTTTAAAATCTTACTAACATAAGCACAACATAACTGGTAATCCTTCAGCTAAGCAGTGTAAATTATAAATATTTACTTTTTTCGGACTTGTCACAATTATGTCTGAAACAATCATAAATTAAAATAAAAACAAAAAAATCGATCAAATGAGGTTTGGGGTCACGAGAGTCATGATTAGGGTCAGTTTTAAGGTCATGACTGGTCTGAATAGGGTTAAGAAAAGGGTAAGGGTTAACTTGATAATTAACCCTAAACCGTAGCCTAGATCCAGACCTTCAAATAAATATTTAATCTGTGGAAGAGTGCATCAGAGATTTATCAAAACATGTTCAGACCTATTTGTGACAAGTGCAAAAAAACAAATATATATTTTTACGCTGGTTAAATGGTTAATCACATAACTAACATAACAACATTAGCACAAAATAACTAACATAAGCACAACGACAAGAACTATATGTTTCAATAAACAATATAACACACAACAAAATTGAAAAAACAACTTACACAAATTCCAAAACAAATAGAAAAAAGCTTACCGATGAATCAGGGGTAAAAAATAAAGATATTCCTTTCATTTCTGCCAAAACCTAAAAAATGTTACTTTAAGTTTAGTTATTATGTCACAGTTGAAAACCAATTAAAATTTTACTGCTTTTGACATATTAATGTTTACATTTTGGTTTCTGTAATATTTTTATTATTTAAATCTTTTTAATTTGCTTAGACACATAAAATAATAATAATAATAATAATAAAAGCACGTAGACTAGAAAAATAAAAGCATAGAAAAGATTACAAAAAGAAAAAATAAAAGCATAGAAAGATTTTTATTTTTTAAATTTCAGGTACTAAAACCCATTTCTAGTAAAAGTCAAGCAACTATTATTTAAGTTGGTTATAAGAACGCAATAAAAGATTGCTAAACAGCAAGAAGTTGACAGAAGAAAAGAAAAAGATATAAAAAATAGTGTTGTTAGGACTGTCGACTATATTGAATAATACATTTTCTTAAGTCAACTAAAATCGAAAACATTTTTGTAATCAACTAAAAGTCGACTAAAAGTCGATTTAGTCAAAATATAGGAATAAATTCTTTTTTTGAAATAAATTGTAATAAAAATAATATATTAATTTATTTTGGAACAAAATAATACGAGAGAAAGAACAATCTTACAACAGAACAATTTATTCCCCAGACTCCAATGATTTAGAGACCGCCTTAAATACTTAATGCTAAATATCAAAAAGTCTACAATCATATTTACAATGTGATTGTATAGAATACATTTTAGAGCTTTACAATTTAAGTTTAAACCAGGGCCCTGAGCCAGCTTGTATGAAATGAAAATCTTAAGCATCAAAAGTAAACAAAAAAAAAAAAAAAAAAAAATAATGAATTACATAATCAAGCGTTTTAATAGGTATTAATAATGCTAATGAATATAAAGCGATGAATTCGATAAAACTTTAGGAGAGTTTTTTATAAAATTAGGTAATAGCTATAATAATATATGTTACTACTATGAAATAAACAAACAAAAGTTAAAGATTGAAAGTTAAATCCATTGAAAAACTAAATCAAAAAGATAAAAAGGATTTTAATATTTTTACTAAACTAAATAGGTTTTTAATCAATTAGTAGGATATCTATAGTTGATTAAATTGGTTATTAGATTTTTCAAAGGCCTAATAATTTCAACTTTTGACTAGTCAACTTTTATTCAATTTAGTCGAAGTCGATAACAACACAAAAAATAAAAAACTGCAGTTTCTAATTCACTACTTACTATAATGGAGACAATACTGTCAATTCAGAATAAGAGTCAGCACTTGGCAATGTCAACCAAACAACTATTCAAGGTTTAAAAATGTAATAAAAATAAAGACAGCTCTAGCTGCCAACCTTGAGCCTCTGTCGCATTGTCTTACAGTTGCATCTCTTTCTCTTTCTTGATTCATCATTCAGCAAAATTGCATCCTTTTACTGTACCTGCCCATATTATTTACGTCATGCAACTTACTGCTTTTTAAATCTTCCATTTTTTTAGGTCTTTAACACTATTCTTTGTTTTTTCAATTAATAGTGGAGAGATGTAAGATATCAGCTCAAAAGAGATGAAAGACTCAAAAACTGTCACAAAGAAAATCACAAAAATAAACCCGTCAGCTTTAAGCTGTAAGTTATAAAAATAGTTCTAAGTATAATACTAGTTGTAAAATTGTTGATTGTTTTAAGGACTAACAAAAAAATTTTGAATTTCTTTCTTTATAAAAATTTTTTAAAAAAACTTTAAAAGATTAGAAAAAGATTACGTAAGAACTTTGCATATGATATCAAAAGAAAAAAAAAAAAAAAAAAAAAAAAAAAAAATACATAACCCAAACAAATTTACTCAAAAAATTGAAATTGTAAGAGCATGATTCAATCAAGAGATTGAGAATTAGAAAAGTTATGAGCTTTTTTTAAGTTTTAATTTTAAACCCTGGTATTATAAGTCTTTGGCCAATTTAATAAGATAAAATATATCTATCAGGTCAATTTCTTGAGTGAGATGTTTTTCAGAACAGACATTTAAACTAACATAAAAATTTGCAACTATAAACATAAGAATTTGCAAATCTTTAAAATTATTTTTAAAACTAAAAACATTTTTTTATTTAAAATCTTTAAATTGTCATGCATTATAAGGTCTTTTTAACGCCAGTGATCACAATAGGTTAGCAAAATATTCTTAGTATATAATTAGATCTTAATATATTGAAAAAAAGTTTATATGTTGCTTTTTTAATTAAATTCAACATATTATATATGTACATAAATCTATCTCTCATATAACAAGAATATGATTTCTAAAGATTATATATATATATATATATATATATATATATATATATATATATATATATATATATATATATATATATATATATATATATATACATATATATATATATATATATATATATATATATATATATATATATATATATATATATATATATATATATACACACAAAATAATGATTTTGTGACTTTTACTAAACCACAGTCCTTTTTAGCACTTTCCATATCTTGCCAAGGTATGGTAAAATTAGTTTAACATAAAAACTTTCTGATAATTAAATTGTAAGCTTGAGATTGTATAAAGATGTTTCATGGACTATATAAGATGTAATCATGTTACTATAGAAATGTTTAATCATGTTACTATAGAAAAATTATAGTAGCATTGATCTAATAAAATTAACTTTTAATAATTATAACTTTTTATAACTATAATAACCTAGTATTATTATTTGTTATTAAATATAAATAAATAATAATACATAATCGAATTTGTTTCTGAATGTGTTTAAGAAAGTATATAAATATGAGAAATAAGGAAAATACCTGATTACATCGCTCTTCTGTTATTTTAGTACCAATAGGAATATTGTGTAGCTTGTAATTTTCACATAAATACTTGAGAACTGTTTTTGGGCAATCAAACAAATCGGTCATATAGTTTTCAAAACCAAATTTCCTAAAACATTGATATAAAAATCAGAGCTTAAATTAACATCAAAATTTTTTAACTGTCCTCATTGCTTTTTACAAACATATTTACTTTTACATATTCCTATGTAAAACCTTTTACATAGGAATATGTAAAATATGTGTTTCTGTAAATAAGTAACAAAAATAACTAACTCTATAACATAAATGTGATAACTTTTTTCCAAGTTCACTAAAGACTATGAAACTACAATGGTTGAATAGAGTTTTTATTTTTATTTATTACACTTTTGAATGCTATAACCTTCACACAACATAAAAAACAACTTAAACACGTGGCGGGTTTACCCTACTATTGGTGAACATGTGGTGGGTTTGAACCTTACCAAATACTCTAAAAGAGCACTTTTTTTTTTTCAAAAAAATATTTAACTCTTATATAATTTGCTAATCAGTTTTTATATAAACATTAAAGTAATATATATATATATATATATATATATATATATATACATATATATATATCTATATATATATATCTATATATATATATATATATATATATATATATATATATATATATATATATATATATATATATATATATATATATATGTATATGTGTATATATATATATATATATATATATAAATATATATATATATATATATATATATATATATATATATATATATATATATATATATATATATATATATATATATATATATATATATATATATATATATATAAATAAATTTATATCTATATATATCTATATGTGTATATATATATATATATATATATATATATATACATATATATATATATATATATATATATATATATATATATATATATATATATATATATATATATATATATATATATATATGTATATACATATATATATATATATATATATATATATATATATATATATATATATATATATATATATATATATATACACAAACATATACAGCCAGGAAGCAAGATCTAAAGCTCTCGCTTCCTGCCGTGGCCTGTATGTGTTTGTGTATATGTATGTATATATGTGTGTGTGTATATGTGTATATATAGACTCCAATAGTCAAATGCTTGGCCTGGGCATTTACATTCGTAAGAATTCACCCATTTGTCCGGAAACTAGGTTTGAATCCACAGACTACTCTTTTATGTGCTTTCGTTTAGCACCACTTCACTCTATCACCTTTCTCTTTGTTCTATATCGCTCTCCCTCATCTCAAGACTGCACTCTTCCTGATGTTATTTCTGATCATATTGACCAAGCCCTCTCTCTTTATCCATCAGCCAATATTATTGTTGTTGGTGACTTCAATGTTCATCACACTAAATGGCTTGGCTCTAGTGTCAGTGACTCTGCAGGCATTTAGGCCCACAACTTTTGCTTTTCTCAATCCCTAACTCAAATAGTCAACTTTCCAACTCGCTTTCCAGACAACCCGAATCATTTACCTTTTCTACTCGACTTATGTCTTGTTTCTGATCCTAGTCAGTGCTCAGTTTCTCCACACTCACCCTTAGGTGCATCTGATCATGGTTTGGTCTCTCTAAAACTATTATCTCATTTTTCTTTATCATCAGAAACCCCCTATCATCGTACATCTAACAACTACCTTAAAGCTGACTGGGACTCTTTCCGTGATTTTCTTCGTGATGGTCCCTGGGTAGAAATCTTTCGTCTTCCTATTGACAAATGTGCTTCTTACATAACTTTGTGGATTCAGGCATGGGATCCTTTATTCCCTCTCGACGATTCCAGGTCAAGCCTCACTCTTCTCCATGGTTTTACTTGCATTATTTCAAACAAAATTAACAAGATAAAAAACATTATTAAGATGCACGTGAAAATTCATTATTCGGATGCAATTAACGATGCCCAAGTCTTAGTATAATGAAAAGTGTTTAAAACATTATTAAATGTTTAAAATCATTATTAGAATGAAATTAATGACATCTAATAATGACGCACAAGGAAATCCTTTTTTCTGAAAAAAAAATCAAAAAAACAAATCTTAGTTTAATAAAAAATATTTTAAACTTTAAAAATATAATGTTTTAAACATTCAACTAAATTAAAGTTGATTGAGAGAATATTTTTCTATTTATAAAACATTTCTTTGCAGTTTTGGCTTTCAACTTGGATTCACCTAATGAAACCTTTGTTAAGATTGACAAAAAGAAACAGATATCCACTATGACAAAAATGTCAAAACATCTTTAACTAATAAATAAATTAATTTACTTTTAAATAAACCGTTTCTTATTAGACATTTAGCACAAAGACATTTTAATTTCTTCCTTCAGTATTTTCACCATGAAAAAAAAATACAAAAGAAAAAACTTTTACACCAGACTACTGATTATCATAGGAGACAACTCAAATGAGAAATAAAAACTGTTTCAATTATGCGCAGGACAACTATGAAAAAACAGGAGGAAACACCCCTAGCATCTACAAATGATTTGTTTGTTCAAATAATAATCTCAGAATTCAAAATAGTGAAATTTTGTGATACCGTCCAAATGGTATGCTGTTAGGAATTGATTAATTTTTACAAAAACACAACTTTTAGATTACTTTTTTATAGTGTGATATTAATTTTCAATAAATAATCTCACTATAAAAAAATCGCTCACCATTTAGACTTGGACAGGAATAGTGGGCGATTGGCCGTTATGTCTAACCATATTGTTTTGCAACAACTTGCCCACAGCTTTTCTGATATTTTAAATATGCACTAAAAGAATTTCTATCTTTTCTAACATTTTTATAAAGTTTTTGTCCCACATATCAACTTTTGAACCAAAAACTTACTTTTATTACTTCAATTACTTACTCAAAAAAAATTAAAAAAAAAAAAAAAAAATCATTTTTTAAAATAATACTTTGTAAAGCTAATTACATTAACTCAGTAGTAAATTAAATGTTAAAATGAAAAATTCAAAAATTATATAAATTTATTTGTAAATATATATTATTTTTTCTTTTTTAAATTCATTACTTTAAAATTATTAAGTCTGCATTTTTTATAACAACTGTAAAACTTTTAAAAGAATGTATGATTGATTTTATAAACAACATGACTTTAAACAACAATTTTGTGTTTCCAATGGACTTATTTTAAATATCATTAAAATATGTAAAATTAATAATCAAATAAAATAAATTTAATAAGTAAAACATGTGATCAAATTTTTTAGAAACTTTTTGAAAAAAAACATAAGCACATATATATCAGAAGTTTATGAGATAACTCTTTAATAAATTGAATAACAATATATTAAATGATTGCTAAAATAATGTTGTTACTCTATGGGATAATATATATATATATATATATATATATATATATATATATATATATATATATATATATATATATATATATATATATATATATACTACTTATTTGTGGTTATAACCCTCTCTCAACTCTATAACTCCAAAACATGAACATTGATGAACAAGGCCGTTGCGTGGAGAAACAAGTTAAGTGCGATAATACCAGGGACGTGGTGGGGATTGAACTCAGAACCTCTCGCTTATGAAGTGAGGGCTCTACCACTACACCACTACCGCATTATATATATATATATATATATATATATATATATATATATATATATATATATATATATATATATATATATATATATATATATATATATATATATATATATATATACAGTAGTGTATCCAGGCCAATTTTGACACCAGTATAATGTCTGGATATACTGGGATAATTTTCTGCTGGTATTGTAAGGAACTTTTTTACTTAGTGTCCCTGTGTAAAAAAAAAAGATCTAAAAAAGGAATGAAATCATAATTTTTTTGTAAACAATATCTATTATCATTTTTTTTGCAAACATCTCCAGTGTTATTTTTTTTTTACTAAATGGATTGTAAAGTGCATAGATTGAGCGGATTAAAAAAAAAAAAAAAATCTAAATAGTGGTAGTTAAATTCCCACAACAAAATACTATATGTATAGTAAGATATGGCAACAGTATTCCATACAAGGATGAATTTGAGATTAATAGAGATGAAGAATAGAATCGGGAGTAAAAAAGTGATGAGCATGATAAGAAAGTGGCGAGCAATCAATTTGATATATGGTATCCAAGAAAAACCGTAAGTAAGAGTTAATACTAGAAGACAAAGGGGTGATGACTCATTAAGTACATTACTATTCATAAATATAGGAAGGTCTAGATTGTTCCGATATCAATTAGCTAAAAAAAATTATGTTTTTTTCTGAATTAAAGTTCACCAGCCACTGTGAGCCCCATGCTGTAGCAGAAGTGAGATCTTTTTCAAGCTCAAATGCCCCCTCCAAGCAATCAGAGAGTATAGGCTTCTTAGCAAGACTAGAATAAATGGTAGCATCATCAGCAAACAATGCCACCTTAGATATGAGAATTTCTGGGAGATTGGTTATGTAAATTGAAAAAATTATAGGGCCAAGGATAGAACCTTGAGGAACCTCTGAGGTTACAGGAAATGAAGAAAAGTGCTGTCAATCAAGGAAAACTTCTATACTATGATTGGTAATATCTTTAAGGTTAGGAAGGATAACCTTAAAGATGTTAACTGATACACCGTAAAAAAAAAAACTTATAAAAAAAACCAGCATGCCAAACATTTCAAAGGATTTAGAAATGTTGAGAGTAATAGCCCTAACATCTCCACATCTAATGCACAATAAAACCTATCAGTTATTACCAATAACAAATCAGCAGTATAGCGAGAAGATCAAAATCTATATTGACAATCAGAAAGAAAGTTATTAGATTCAAGATTAAAGATTTAAAGTTTGTTAATTAAAGATTCAAAAACCTTGCTTATGATGGGAAGAAGACTAATGGGACAGTACTTAGACAAATCAGATTGCTCTACAGAATTTTTGAAAATAGGGATAACAGATGCCGCTTTTCAGCAGACTAGAAAACAAGACTCTGATAGTTTTAAAAGTATAGATGACAGCTCCAGAGAATACTGCTATACAAGACTATAACAAGTATGTTGTCCAGATCACAAGCTGAAGAAGAGTCTAGTTAGGAAATCATTTTAGATACAGAAGCCTGATACAAACGTCGGCATTGGATTCACCAAAAAACCAACTGTATGACAGAAACTCTTACCATTATAAAGTTCTCTTACCAAAACAGCGCAAAACTGTGATCTTAAGTCAATTTCATTTCTTATAATGTGAAACTGCAAAAATTAAAAATTATTTTTTAAAGTAGTAGTTAAAAAAAGTTGCAAGTTGAAAGATCACATTTTTACACTCAAATACCAATACAAACAAAACAACACTTCATTTTCAGGTGGTCATATTATGTACAAATCTTTTCCTTATATGTAATACTCACAATTTGATTTGGTTTAAAGAGCCTTATATAGCAAAATCGCTGTAATCAGTAATAGAAATTAAAAAATAGAATTTTTATTTGGTTTTGAAGGACAATGTATATTTGCATTTTGCAACATTTGTTTTTGAAAAAAATGAAACAAAGTTTAAAGCTTTGCTGTTGAAAAGCTACACATGTATCGTTACACCTTGTTTTACACATACATTGTTACACCTTGTTTTAAAAAGAAAAATATAATTTAAAACCAGAAGAGATAAGAGATTTACAAAGGTAGACAATAAAATCACAAGTATGAAAAAACAAGGAAAACAACAGAGACAAACTTAGTTTTGCATAAATTCAGCATAGAATTTCATACAAAATGAAAGTTTGTTTAATACAAACTTTTTAAATATTTGACAAAATGAACGTTTGTTTCACAATTCATGAATCATAAAAAATAACTTATCTAAAAAAAGGAAAACTCTAATATTATAAGTAATAACTCCAAGTTTAATATTATTAGTAATAATATTAAAGTGTGATTAATAATTTAAAAAAACTGCTAATTATATTGTGAGTAAGAATAGGAGCCATAAAACTTGGATGGTTACTAGTGGTAGTGGATAGCAATTTTACTAGTGGTAGTGTCACATTGAAATACTCACACCTATTCTGCAAAATAAGCTAATACAAGTAAAAAACATCAGGTTGTAAAAACTTGTTTTAACTTTTTTATAATCATATTTAAAAAAAAGAAATTGGTCAATTATCTAATATTTTATCATGATGGAAACTTAAAAATGGGTCTTGAACAAATGGTTTAAGGCCCATTTAAAGAAAATTAAAAAAGTAAAAATTAAAAAATAAATAAATAAATAACAAACAAAAAATATATTTTTAACAATTAAAGAAAATTTGACATAAACTTGAAAAACTATTTTAAACGTACTTTAAATCTTGTAGTGGAATTTTAGGAGTAAAGGAATCCATGCTATCATGAGGAGGACACACACTAGGAATGTCTAGGTGAAGAACATCTTTCATCTAGAAAAATATAAAAATAAATACTTTTTTTATTGATATATATATATATATATATATATATATATATATATATATATATATATATATATATATATATATATATATATAAAATAGATTGTGAGATTGAGTAATGGGAGATTGCCTGCCCAAACCAAAACCTTTAATTGATGTAGCACTCCTCATATGTTCAACCTATTTGTCAGTCAATATAGCAGCACTCCTTCACATTCTTATATGTTCTACCAATTAAAAAAATATTAAAAAACAACAACTCTTTATTTTGAAAATAAAAATAATTTTCAAAAATTACTTTATTCTTAACTTGTTATGATAAAGAATCAACATCATTATTATTGTCACACTAAGTACAGCACAAAAGGTAATTTATATTTTGGCTAGTCTACAGAATAGAACATGAGAGGGGTGCTGCTACATTGACTGAAAAGTAAGTAGAACATGCAAGTACTGCTAAATCAACTGATGGTTTTGGTGCAAGTGCTGGGGGTTGATGGGGGGGGGGGGGGACATAAACTGAGGGTTTGGGCTATCTCTCAATTAAATAATTTTTTTTTATGTATTTACACTTTTTCTGGTCTTGTAGATTATTTTTTTTTAAATAATAAAGTTTACATTTAATGGCAAAATTGAGATGTGTGTATATATATATATATATATATATATATATATAGTTTTCCCGCTCTACCATTTTTTTTTCATATTATTGTAAGTGTCATAATATTATAAATAGTTCATACTATTTCTAAGATAATGATATTCAGGAACTTGGTAAATATTTAACTTATTCGATTTTACTCTTGCAGTATGATTTGTGTAAACTAATTATTTTTATAATTTTATATTATTGAGTATTATTTTGTCATCATATGTTGTATAATGGAAAATCTTGTCAATATTAATATTTAGCAATCAAACAACTTATCGAATTTTATACTTTTACATGACCAGATGCTTCTGTAACACCAAAAATGCATTTATTGAAAATCATGTATGTCAGTTTAGTGAATAACGGATATTAGATACAGGTGTTTAGGGTGAAAAATAGAGATAACGAATTAGATGTTTATGTTAAAAGTTTACACATCAAATTCACCAACCTTTATATGTTATTCTATCATATGGGTTGTAGCCAGCTTGAAAGCATTATTAAATAACATTTTATAAAAAATCATCGTAAAGCAAAAAATAGAAAGCCTAATGAAAAAAAAAAAAATAAAATAAATAAATTTATAGAAATTTTTCACAAAGTATTTTTTAAGATATTTGAAATTAGATTTATTATAAATTTTTAAAAATATAAATGATAAACAAAATCTTAGTTTCTTTTCTAACTTTCATTTTAAGACCTTTTTGATTTTAACATTTCAGCAATGTAAATTTAAAAGTTAATAATAAAGATAAATAATAATAAAGACTTTTTGATATTGAATTAAAATGTCTTTATAACTTAAAAGCTAAATATTTTTATAACTTACTAGGAGTATGGCATATTAATTCAAAATCAAAATTTAATTTTTATATGATGCAGATGATCATTGGTAGAATTTAGATTGTTATTTTTTTGTTTTGTTTGGTATTTTAAATTTTAAACTGTTACAAACTAAGCTTAAAATGTTGCTAAACACCATACACCCATACACCATAAAAAAAGAAATAACAACAAAAATAAAAAAAACTTTTTATGTTTTATTATAAAATACTTTTAAACAAACAAACTTAAGAAATCGTTTTATAAGTTAATTAACTAGTGTATATTATTAAATTGTTAACTACTACTAAATCTAAAATTAAACAAAAAATATTACGAATCACATTAATCACACAAAAAATATCCTGAAAGTATTTGGCATTATTTTTGATGTGCTGGCTTATAAGCAATATGGCAATGTCGAGCAAACTTAAATATGTATCAGCAGCTTTTTTCAATAGTTCTAAGTTTTTTTTTACTCACAGCTAAAACTGCATTTCATCCCATTTTGGATGATTGATCATCTTTGTTGAAAAAGTTTATTTTGTTACTTATTATTATTTTACTTATTATTATTTTACGTTATTTACGCTTGTCGTGCATTTTAAAAAAGAATTTTGAATAAAAAAAAAAATCAGTTAAACAATTTATTTTGAAAAAACAATTTATTTTTTCAAAACAAATTTTTCTTATTTCCTGGTAAAAGAGGCTAAAAATACTTAAGACAAAGACTTTTTACATTTGATGATAGTTTATTTAATTTAGTATTAGGTCTTTGTTTAATTTTATTATTAAATTTCTTGACTGATTAAATTATTTATCTTACTATTCATTTATCTAGATTTAGATTTAATTATTTATCATAATTATTAAAATATCTATATAAAAATTTAAAAGCCAATTAACTGTTTATATTAAATTATATAAGTGATTTCATTGATGTTTGACTTGCATATAAACGCGCATATAAAAATAAATAAACATGCATATAAGAATGAATAAATACACATATAAAAATGAATAGACGCACATATAAAAATGAATAACCCTGTAAAAAAAAAAAAAGTCTAGAAAGTTTTTAGAACAAACTAATTGTTTGCGTAACCTTTTTCTTTTTTTTTTTAAGTATTTTTTATTACTTATTAAACTCAAGATTTGACATAAATCTTGTCAATTGGTCTTGACAATTGAAATAATATAATAATAAAAAAACAATAATACAAATAAAAATATATAATAATATAAAAATACTTACTAAATCAGAGAATAAAGCCTGATCTTTTCTATTTTCACAAACAAATGATTTGAAATCGTTAAAACTTATAGTAGACTCCAAATAAACAGCATCTTTCATATTCTTCATATTGATCTAAGGTTAAATATTAACTTCATATTGATCTAAGGTTAAATATTAAAACTTTTACCTTTATTAGCAAAAAATTATCAATAATAAACCAATTAAATGAAAACAAATGCATTTTATTAACTTTGGTTAATTAATGCGTCAATGTAAGGTTGAACTGGTGGTGTTGTTGTGCTATTTAAGACCAAGCTTAACTAGTTACGCTTGGTCTTGGTTTAGTAGGCAACTTTGTCAAGACTCATGTTTCAGAGTTTAAGGGTTGGAAGAGAACAACAATTTAAAAAGAAATTTAAGTATTCTCTGTAACTGTAGTGGCCTAGGGGAGTACAGAAAGTAAAAAAAAAAAAAAAAACTAAAATAATTATGATAATGACACTTTATTTATTTATGACACTAGATTTCTACTTATGTGCTTGCAGTTTTTGGAGCACATTGTTAAGACAATTTGAATTCTTTAGTTACTACTTAAGTTAACAATGACAGAAAAACAACATAACTTAGAACTTCAAGATGAATTTAAGCTTTTATTTTTAGAATTTTAAAATGAATTTAAGCTTCAGCAAAGTACTTTCCATCTTAAAATTAGGGGTGGGAGTTAAGGTTAGTTTTAGTCTAACTAAAGATACTTAACTAAATTTTTAGTCTAAATAAAATTAGTTAACTAACTTTTTAGTTAACTAAAATTAGCGACTAACTTATTAGTTAACTAAAATTACGCGACTAACTTTTTAGTTAACTAAAATTACCCAACTAACTTTCTAGTTAACTAAAATTACCTGACTAACTTTCTAGCTAACTAAAATTACCCGATTAACCTTTTAGCTAACTAAAATTAAGCAACTAACTTTTTAGTCTAACTAAAATTAGTCGACTAAGTATTTAGGGTAACTAAATTTAGTCGACTAAAGCAAGATTTAGTGCTTGAAAAAAGAAATAATCTTTCGCATAAAAATTTTACACACGAAGAAGCATTATTAAGGCGATAAATATTATTTTATCGAAATTAAACACTTTACTGGTTGTGAATCCTAGAGCCCAGTCGAACTAAACTGTTATTTAAAAGAAATGTTTTAAGCAAAATTCGATTATTTTAATTTTTTCCCAGCTCTGAGACAACTGCCTATGAAGTTGTTGCAACTGTTTATAAACACCCAATCAGCATGGAATATACAAATAATGCCCTTTAGTCAATTACATCAAATTTGGTACGCTTATTGAACGTTTAACTTATATTTTTTATGTGCTGCTTCTTATAGGAAGTGTGCAATAACAATCGCAAATCAAAAATAATTTCTCCTGCCAAGGCCGTACCGACGTGAGTATGGGCACCTTACCGGGGTTACAACATTCTGTCGGTAATTTAGAAAATTTGAAACTCAATCGGTTAAAACTGCAACTTGGCTTTTAAATAAAAAAAAAAGCCCTACTTTGGTGAGATTTTTATGGTAAAAAAGCTTATTTCATTTGCACCCCCCTCCCCCTACGTCTTCGTTGTTCAGTACAGCCCTGTCCCCTGCTGTATTATAGGAATAGATTCAATCTCTAATTTTCACAACAAATCTATGACTCCCCCTCCCCACCTCTTCAAATATCAACCTCTACTAACAGCTATTACAACCGGAAAACATTATAGTAAGGCAGGCGAAAGTATTGACATGAACCCAAAAGGAAATCGTTAAATAAGTTATTATGAACTTATTTGCTTACAGAGTATAGTTGTTCGTCGGTTGGCGATACCTGCAAAATTTAAAAGGAAAATTAGTATTTGCATTTTTGAATGCAATATCCGCAATATAAGTTGTTGAATAGTATATAAAATGTATTAAATAATACTTAACTGTTGAATAACGAAAACATTTTATTAAGTAACTGCGGTCGCTTTTAAAACCAGGAAATTGTTTATGACATTTTAATTACTTGAAAAATGCAATACGTAGTTTTTAAGCATTTTAAAATACGTGTAAAACCGGGTCGAAACAATTATAAATTAAAATTCAATAACTTTTTTATTATATTTATTTTTATATTTTTTCATTAGATAGATATTTAAAAAAATACTAAAGAATATATTAATAAATATAAAAAAACAAACAACCAAACTATTAAAATAATAAAGGTAAAAAAGTTTGCTGTTTTAGGCAACATTATAATAAAACCGCACGCTCAAGAACATTAAAATCACACATTAATTTTTTTAATTTTCAATTTTTTCTGTATCTTTTTTTTTTAACACATTTTAAATTTAAAAAACTATATTAATTTTTTAATTTTTTGTTTAAAAAAAAAAAAAAAAAAAATCAGTTTTACTCAAAAGAGTTCGAATACTAAATTTAATATTTCCTTTAGAACAATAAACATATTAAAAAATATTTATTACAAGAAAAAACTTCAGTATTATATTTAATGAATTTAAACTAAATTAAAAAATTCCAAATTTTCATACAAAAACATCAATATTTGAAAACATTCAGTTGTTATTCTGTTTTGCTTTGCATACGTAAGTATAAGTTTGCATATGTTTCGCTTTGCATGCATAAGTGTTTAATGCCTCAGAGAAAAGGTGTTCACTTAGTGCACTGGTAGCAGGCGTACATAAAATCATTGTTGAAATACAATACATTATTGGATATACATGTTAATTTTGATACCAAAAGTGTAAAAACATTTTGCTCATTTACTGACAATTTTTTATAACCACTAATTTTTCTTTTTAAATCTAAACTTATTATTTTGTCACTATCGTTTCCGGAAATATCATCTTCATCGTCAAATGATAACTTAAATTTTTTAAATTTGTTTGTCACCTTTTTAAATAAAATTATATCACAAACTTTTTTTGTTTAATGAAATTTCGACAAAAATTCTCTAACACATTTAAAAGATTTTTTTTCCCTTGTACTTTTCAAAGAATTGAAAACTTTTATAATTTGGATCCAAAAAAGTGGCACATAATAAAACCAAGTAATTGTAATATACTGTAGCTTACAGGGCCGGCACAAGTAGGTAACACGTAGAGAGTGCCGTTAAAATTTTACTTACTAGAAATAGGAAAAAAAAATTCATGTTTTTATTTACCAACTGACTGTTCTGAAAATCTACATTTGCCAACTTACTTATCTAAAAGAGTCAAATTGGCTTACTAAATGAGCTAAAAGTTCATTGATGGGATGTCACACACGAAACCAACCAATCCATCCTTACACCTTTTTGCGTTGGCCTTGGTAGCTTATTCAACTCTATAGATATTTGTGTTTTACTATGTTTACTTTTTGGATTTTTTATGAAAAATTTTCTTGAAGTATCTTGTTTATAATATTTTCTTGAAGTAAATTATTTTGATATTTTTTTATTTTTGCGGTATTATGCGATAAAATGATTATGCATTCGCAATCTTATTCAAAAATTCTAATAGAAATGATATCATGCACCCAAATTATTTATATTATATATTTATAAAATTCTTTAGTTGGACTAAAAACAAAGTCGCGTATATTTAGTTAACAAAAAGCTTAGTCGGTTAATTTTAGTTAACTAAAAAGTTAGTCGACTGATTTTAGTTAACTAAAATGTTAGTCAGGTAATTTTAGTTAACTAAAAAGTTAGTCGGGTAATTTTAGTTAACTAAAAAGTTAGTCGCGTAATTTTAGTTAACTAAAAAGTTAGTCGACTGATTTTAGTTAACTAAAAAGTTAGTCGACTAATTTAAGTTAACTAAAAAGTTAGTCGGGTAATTTTAGTTAACTAAAAAGTTAGTCGCGTAATTTTAGTTAACTAAAAAGTTAGTCGACTGATTATAGTTAACTAAAAAGTTAGTCAACTAATTTTAGTTACAGTATTTTTAGTTTAGTTAGTTACAATTTTTAGTTTTGGTCACAACACTACTTAAAATGAATTTAAGCTTCAGCAAAGTACTTTCCGATTCAAGATGAATTTAAGCTTCAGCAAAGTATTTTCCATTTTAAAAGGAATTTAAATTTCAGCAAAGTACTTTCCATTTTAAATTAAATTTAAGCTTCAAATTTTAGTGCTCAGTAAAAATGTTTCCAAAAAAAAAAAAAAAATCGGCAGCAAATTTTTATCCATCAAATAAATTAGTTTATAACAATTTAGTAAGTTTATTATTTTTTAATTTTTTTTAATTTTTTGTTTTACAACAAATTTAAAAGGTTAAAAAACATTTAAAATAAAACATATATAAATAAACAATCAATTTTAGTGATTTCATGTTTTACATTCACATTATTTATAAATTGTACCCAAAAATAAAAGTTTTAAAAATATATGGATTTCCATATCAAATTTGAAATAAGTTAAAATATGAAAATGTCAATTGCCTTAGGAAAACAACCTTTTTCAAATTGTTTTTAGATAAATAGTAGCTAAGTACCAACTACGAAAGTCCTGCTTTTGTAGTTGGTACTTAGACTTTGCAAATGATGAGGACATCTGGATTCAAGCATTAGTTATTCACTGGTGTGAATGACTGTGCAGGACCATTTTGACTTATAAGTTTGACAAGCACATCTATTTCTTTTAAAATAATATCTTCAATGATTTCAATTCACCAATTTTGCTTATAAGAAACACAGGCATAATCACCTGGTACTAAGTTTACAGTTGTTACTTTGATATTTCCAAAGTTACAAATTAAAGCAAATTCCTCATTAACACTGCATAGCTCAAAGCTTTCTTTTTTTTAAATAAATAATCACATAATTTACACTAGTGTTGCTACAACTTTTACATAATTTGACTGTCAAATAAATTGACTAATATATTTTCTAAAGTTGACTAAAATTGGCTAATAAATTTTTGAAATCAAAGTCAAAGTATGAGAATAACTTATTTTCTTGAAATAAATTGTACTAAAAATAATAAAGTAATTTATATTTGCTTTGTATTTTTTAACATCATATCATTTAGGTAATAATGAAGGAGAGAAGGGCTGCTCCAACAGCGAGGTAATCTGATCCTAGACCACAATGGCTTACGGACAGCCTTAAATA